AATGCCTTCCAGCAGCTGTCACCCCAAGTCTCAGTTTCCTTATCAGCTATCTGGAGGACATCTGCATTCAGTGTGGGTGGAGGACATTTACAGGACAGCTTGTGATGTATTAGCCACCTTGATGTTCTCAAGTTTCAGGTCTAATGCTGGATACCAGGCTTACTCAGCACCAGTTGCTTAATCCAGGTCCTCATGTGAGGAGCCTTGGCAAATAGACATACCCACTGTGAAGCTGCTTTTGCCTCCAGGGGGCTTAGCGACAGGTCAGAGGCCAGAGCCCTCCCTCCCTGAAGTTCTTTCCTGTGTTTGCCACAATTATACCTCACTGCTTTCCAATTGGGCCAGTGGAAGCTTCGCCACTTCGCCACCCAGAAGCTCAGATCCATAGAGGACTGTTTGCAGTTTACTTGGTGCTTTTAAATACCTCTTGAGGAGGTTTGCCCACAAAATACATAGGCATTCCACTTTACAATATATTCTGTGAAGCGCTTTAGACGTCTCAAAATGTAATGAGGTGCTATATCAAATGCAAGGATTATTATTATTATGTCCAATACACTTTGATCTAGGGTCAGTTCTTGGGGAAGTTAAAATTGTACAGATCATTGTGGAAGGGAAAGAAGCAGAGCTTGGTCTTGCTCATCTTGTTCACCCACAAATACAGTTACTACACATGTATGGTACATTCTGTTAAGTCCCTTGAAACATCATCTTGATGTGAAGGCACTATATCAAGTGCAAGGATGTTACTATTATCATGGATAAAGGAGCTCATGACTCAATGAGCTAGGTTGACACTTTTATTGGTGGCAGGTTGTGGGCCAAATGATTGTCTTCTCTGGCATAATGCCAATATCCTCATTGTCTATGGAGCTAGAACAAATGGAGATTATTTTACTAACCATTTATGGTGTTTGCTATTTCATGTTCTGTTAATGAAGAGCTTGAAAAACATTTCCAATGACCTATTGTTAACCCATAACCATAACTCAAGGACAGATGTAGTTATTGTACTCACAAGTCACAGCTGTTTCAACACAGTATTATAGCAATTCAGGAAGATAAACTGATATGAATCCAAAAATCTTTGACTGGCATTCACCCACAAAATACAGTCACTCCACTTTACAACATATTCTGTGAAGCGCTTTGAGACACGTTTCAATGTGAGGCACATTATATCAAATGTAAGGATTATTATTATTATGAATTAAAAAATAAGACATTTTTGAAGCTTGTATATCATGTGCAAGGATTTATTGAACTTTTTACTTAAAACTTTTTCCAAACAAATATTGATTGAAATATTGCAAGAGTGTTAACCCACTGTTCAACGCGTTTTAGAGAAAGTGAACATGGATTTGCTGATGAGCCTTAGAGCAAACAACCCTGTGATGGAGATTTACACCAGTCATGCTGTGAAGGAGATGAGGTTCCCCAGGTGCTGTACCTGGGTTGGGTGAGGTGTTGAGGTGTCTCAAAACACAATTGGCTGTGCAACCAACCTTGGGCTGAGAGTCAAAGGAATGGCGATGAGAAAATCAGAGATGGACTTTGAACGAGGTGAGGGAGGGAGCAGGAGTTCTTGAGAATGGGGACAGAAAAAAGCTGAAATTCCACCTGCCAATGTTGGGGCAGGTAGGGATCCATCCTACTGATTTGAGTGACCTCTCTACAATTGTTTTTAAAAATGAGTTTTTTCCCCCTGTTAACCATGCTTCTTTTAATTTGCATCAGTTATTTAAAGCCCTTAACATTTTCAGTGTATTTTAACAATTCGGAAAGCGTTCTTCAGAATGAATGCTCGACAGTGGCAGCGTCTGAACCCGAGCCAAGGGGAATCGAGCCAAGCACGATCAAAAAGGAAAGTATTTAGGCAGTATTTGAAGGTGGGGAAGGAGGGGGCAAGGCAGAGGGATTGAGAGTTCCAGGGCGTAGTGGCTGAAAACACGGCCACTGATGGTGGAGCAGAGGAGATAAGGGTCAAACAGTAGGCCGGAGCCAGCCGAGCTTAGGCAGTGGAGTGGAGGGTAAGCAGATCAGATAGGTAGGTAGAGAGGTGCGAGGGGACGAAGGGATTTGAAAACAAATGAGAGGATCTTGAAATTGATCCGCAAGCTGGGGCCTGGCAAGGACTGGTGTGATGGGGGTACGGATTCATCTGCACGCCCAAAGTTGTACATCCCCATAAAGATTGACACTTTCGCATGACATATAGCACATTACTAGGAATTGTAGGTTGCTTTATGTTGTGGTACCATAAAGTCCAGCAAGTACATTTTAATGAAGGATGGCCCAAATTCAGAGCTTACAAAAACTTTTTTTTCTGTCAGGGTCAGACTTTGCTGCTCCATCTCTTATTGAAACCCTTTTCATAATCCCCAAAGTACATGTAAGCACACCGTCAGGTTGCTCTTTTCTTTACCTCACAAGTACAAGTGCAGAACATTTAGTAGTCACATGTGGGTAATTTGAAATTACCTGAATATTTCTCAAGCTGACTCCCCAAATTGCTCAAACTGTTGTATTCAAGATTGTGGTTCAGTGGCTTTATGTGCTAATGCACTATAGTATGTAATGGAGTACAAGGTTGCAAGTCCATTCCTGCATGGCCTAATGCACTGCTGCACATAATGAAATACACGGGACGCAAATTCACTCCTACATTAGCAGTTATAAAATTTTTCATTGTAGGTGCCAAGAAGTTTCATGAAGTGAAGGTGAAGGGCTTCCTCAGGCAAGAAAATGTAAAGAACTTGCAATTTCATGCTTTGGCACATTGAAATGTCTCAAAACACATTGAAGATAATTATTGTGTGCTGATTATTTTTGTAGGCAAACATGGCAGCCATTGCCATGATCTCACAGTCAAGATCTCGAAGACTGTCAGGAGGTGAATGATCAATTAACCTGAAGGGCTGCAACAAGAAAAACTTCCAACTTTTTTCAAATGTCATTTTTTTTATCATCTGGCAAGGAATAGAGGACCTAGGTTTTAATATCAAAAGGATAATGAAGAGGCTGAGGAACTTAAATCTGACTGGAAGTTAGGAAGTAGGTCAGCAAACAGTGGAATAGATGTGGAAAGGTCTTTTGTAAATAATCGATAAAAGAGAGCTGGAAGGAAATGGTAGACCCATTCTATCTTCCTCCGCCACCTCTCCTCTCAGCTCAACCTTCATGGTCATGTTATTGACTGGTTTAAATCTTACCTTTGCACTGTCTCCACTTTGTCTCCACGAATGGCTTCTCCTCCAGCACCAGCATCATCCTTTTCAGACATCAGGTCCTAACTTTCTACAGTTGAACTTCAATAATATCGAGGCTCTCCCGATTGGCTTCTGCCAGGGCTCCACACCTCAGGCACAGACAGCATCACCATCCATGGATGCACACTCCACCTTACTAAGCCAGTCTGGAACCTTCGTGTCTTGTTTGACCCTCAACTATCTTTTCTACCCCACATCCGTGCCATGACCTGTTCTGCATTTACTCCACCTCCGCAACATCGACCGGCTCCGCCACTGTCTTTCCCCCAAGCCATCGAGACCCTCATCAACACATTCATCAGATCTAGGCTCGACTATGCCAATTCCCAGCTTGCCGGCCTTCCCAACTTTTCCCTTCACAAGCTGCATATCATTCAGAGCTCTGAGCTCATGTGCTCTCCCACATCAGGCCCTATCATCCCCCATCCTTTGGAACTCCATCCCAGTCCCTTTGTCTTGTTCCTTCCCTTGCTTCCTTTAAGGCACGTCTCAAAACCCTTCTCTTCAACCACAACTTCGGGCACCTTCCTACCTTCCAACTCTCCTGATCCCAACCTCCTACTTGGATCCAAATCCCTAAAATCCCTAACTGTCCAGCACCTTGGGACATCCTCCTGCCGTGATAGGCGCTTTACAAATGTAATTTGTTGTTGTAGTAGAAGCCTTGTCTAATTTGGAAACTTTGAACTGAATGTCATTGAAGGAAGTTTCACAGCTGATAAATTGTGGATTATACTGCCACCTGGTGCACTGAATGCAGACTCAGTTGAACCAGGATCAAAATAATTGTACCAGGCACAGTCCTGAACTATAATGAAATATCCTTTGTGACCCCAGACTATTGGTGTAAACCTTCAACTGTCCAGCACATTGTGACATCCCCCTACTTGAAAGGAGCTATATACATGCAATTTGTATACCCTTTCATCACCTCCTGCCTTGTTTATTCCAATGCCCTCCTCACCACTCTCCCTAGCTTTATCTACAAAATCCAATTAATTCAGAACTCAGAAAGAGATCTAGGGGTGTTAGTAGACTCATCGCTCACTATATGGTCAGACCACACCTTGAATACTGCTACATAAGGGGCTGTCGAAGCTCAAGATCCAGTACAGAGGAAAGCAACAACTCCAGCCTCTTACTTGTCCATCGTCCCCTCCACCATTGGTGGTCGTGCTTTCAGGCACTTCGCCCTGTAACTTTAGAACTCTCTTCCTCAATTCCTTTACCTTGCCCCATGCTTTCCCTTTTCAGATCACAGATCTTCCTCTTCAACTGTGCTTGTTGTCACCTCGTCATCAGGCTCCACCACTAAGGCTCTTCACTCTTGTGAGAAGATGGATTAGAGGAGATCTCAGGTGTACAAAATTTTAAATGAGATTGAAAAAGAAAGCTTTAGTTACTTTAGGATGCACCATGACAGTAGAATAAAAGGAAATGGGTTGAAGAGTTGTCAAGTGCAATTTCACATCAGATTTCAGAACGTTTTTCTTTACGCAGAGGGTAGTCTACAAATGGAACAGGATGCCAGGAAAGATGGTAGAGACCAAGACACTGGATTCATTTAAAAAGTAGCTTGATGCAGTGATGGGGGTAATTCCTGGTCTCAGATACCAATTAACTATTCATTACAATATTGTATGATAAATTGTGCTGGATTAAAATGTTTATACTTAACTGCTTTCATCTAACCAATTCATATATTTGTATCAAATTGAATTGGCAAAATTCTTAAATTAGATATGATTTATTACAAACATTTGCTTTCATCATCTTGTAGCTAACATTTAGTCATTGAAATTTTCATTTTTTTAATACGTAGTACATTTATAACTAGAATAGAGTAAAACAAGGATGTTTCAGTAAGTATTGAAAACAAAATATTTACAGATCATCTTAATTCACATACTGGGATGCTAGGCAGTGAAAAATTCAAGAAATTCACTGCAAAAAGCCCAGGCATAAACCCATCCAATCTTAATAGTGGCAACTGCTCAACAAAACACAGCATTTTAAACATGCAAATGCTGAGTTTTAAAACTGTGCTTGCACTTATTGTGAGTTATTGCTAATTTATTCTCCTGGTTAATGCATATTTTACACTTGCTCCAGTTGGGTGAAAAGCATTATTGTTGCTTGGTTAGACACAGTGATAATCTACACAATATGTTAATACACAGAAATACAAGATCAGACATGCACAGAAATGTTTTTTTAAAATCTTCATAAATGTGACCAATTTTAAATCACTGAACCAGTTCCAAAGGTTTTCAACATTTTAGGATTCAAAATCCTAGTCATAGAAATCTCTCATTCTCTGACTCAGTCCAGTTTGTTGAGGGGGGCGCCTCACTCCACGGTTTAATGATTGTGACTGGATGGCTTCACAAAAGCAGATACATCAAGGTTACGACCACTGTTGCATTGTTCCAATAAGCCCTAAAGACAGGCAAAATAAAAATAAACATTCTGCTCTTTGCTTTACAATAACATTGCTGTGCGCAAATTGGTTGTCACATTTGCCTACAAATATAGCCTCTACAAACTCTGAAGCACATTTACCATTAACATTACTGAAAATGAAAAGGCCCTGAAAAGATACTCTTTTAGATAAGACACATTGGATAGCCACAGGGAAAAAAAATATTTGGAATAATGATCTCTGCACCAGAAAGGCAATCTTAAACAATTGATAAAACAAATCCTTGCATTTGATACAAAGCATATCACATCAGAACATCTCAAAGTGTTTCAGGATTGGCTGTAAAGTGCAGTGATTAAGTAGACCAAACCCAACAACCAATTTGTGCACAGGAATGTTCCGCAAACAATCATTAATCGAATAATAATACAAGTAAAATACTTTTTAATCTGAGGGATTGTTGGCCAGGTCTCCAGGAGACAATCACTCAGATTTTTTTGAAACGCGTTTTGGGATCATTAACGTCCACCTGAACATGCAGACAGGACCTCCTCATTTTTACATCTTATCCTAGGGACTCTACCTCCAATACAAGGTTACCTCAGCACTGCTTCAAAGTGCCAGCGTAGATTATAAAATGCAAATTGATTCCTGCCAAATGTCAGAATTAATACAACTTTATAAACAAATATTTAAATAAAAACATTTAGACTAGTTAAGAACACTGTATTCAGTTTTGGTCACTCCAATTTAGAAAGGATGTCTGGGGTTTAGAGGATTAAAATGAGAATTAGGATCATAAAAGAATAAGTGGTTTGACCTTTGAGCGTACTGGAGAAACTGGAACAGAGAAGGTTGAGAGAGACCTATTAAAGATCTTTAAAATTATCAAGAATTTGGATTGAGTAAATAGGGAGAAAATATTTCCACTGATCTGAGTAAATCTGCAGGGATATCGGGAAAAGGCAGGTAAACAGGACTGAATAAATTTCTCTTTCAAAATACCAACACAGATATGATGCATCAGTTGGCCTTCTTCCGTGCTGTAAATTGCTGGAGGAGAGGAGAAGCCCATGACTATTTGAGGTTTAAGCATAAGAAGCCAGTCAGAATGAATGATTTTCTATCCAAGGGAGCAGCAACATGGTACTGATATAAAACATTTTTACTCTAACTTTAAATACAAGTAAAGGAGTACTTACTCTCGTAGCCCTTGTGATGCTGTTGGGAGAATTCAAAGCCATCAACTGACTAAAAATACGATGAATTTCTTTTCTGGACTCCTTACCGGGTTCTGTCACTATGCAAAACAAAATATCAAAGCTAACAAATTTGGTTGGATGCTCTCTAAAAAATAATCTAGAAGAATAGCGCGAAGGTTTATTCATTTTAAACAAACTGAACTATGGGCAATCTAAGGTCAGATGACTTACCCGAGTGCTGCTGCCGAGTTTGGATGCATAAATAGGGATGATCCAACAGGTCAACAACAGATAACCTTTCCTTTGGATTCCTCACCAGACATCTCTATTCATGCAAAAAGCAAATGATAAAATGGTTACACGGAAACATATTCGTCTCCACTCCAATAATAAAAGCTTGCAGAATTTTAGCAAGGCTAAAAATGTGATTAAAACCAAGATTCAACACCAGCTTTAAACAACATCAACAAATTTACATTTATATACTGCCTTTCACGTTGGGAGGATGCCCCAAGGCATTGGACAGTCCAGTGCTTGCACCTGAGCTGTGAATGGGAACTATAGGGTGAGAGGCAAAATGGCTAATACCCAGAGAACAAAGAACACTGTGGTCTTATTTCCAAAATGAATATCAAAGTTCAAATATGGATGATTACAACATTTGGAGGATGACTGTATTTCAGCACTGCAAAGTACAATTGACTGGGTTCAAACACCAGACACAAGTTTTCCCGTATGTCCAGTGAATTACAGTTACCACACTAACACAGGCAGTTGGGAACATGCACTGTAAAAGCAGAGAATGTTTGAAGACAGTATGAAGACTATGGTAGGGAGGTACAAGAGACATGAGGCTGATTCTGTGATTTTAAAAAAAAAAGTTAATCACTTGCTAGGATCTTAAAACAATATACAACAACAACAACAAGATTCCATTTAGAGCGACTTTCACGTCAGGAGGACGTCCCAAGGCGCTGTACAGTTGGGTCAGGACCCGAACAGGGGGGAAATGGTCAGGGTGAGGGGAGGGAAGGGAGGGAGCGAGGAGGGGGTAGAGAGTCGAGAGGAGAGCCGAAGGCTCGGTCAAAGAGAAAGGTCTTGAGACCGGCCTTGAAGGAGGAAAGGGAGGAGGCGGCGAAGGCACTGGGGGATAGAGTTCCAGAGCCTGGGGGCGGAGAGGCTGAAGGCCCGACCACCGATGGTAGGGCGGTTGGGGCGGGGGATGTGGAGCAGACCGGAGCCAGAGGAACGGAGAGTACGGGCAGGTAGGTAGGGGGTAGTAGGTCAGAGAGTTAGGAGGGAGCAAGGCCGTGAATGGCCTTGTAGGTGAGGATGAGGATCTTGAAATCGATCCTCTGGGGGATGGGGAGCCAGTGGAGGTGAGCGAGAGTGGGAGTATAGCAGCCATTCCGCAAAATAGCGTCTCGGAGCGCCTATTAATTACCTTCAACACATCAAGGAGATCTCTTTCTGCAATGGCAGCAAACTGGATTTCATGGCTTGGGTCAATAATAGCCTGCAGTTTGCTTATCTGGTTTGTAATATGCTGAAATGGAGTCTTCCCATAGGTCATGTAGTACAGTATACAGCCAAGGGACCATACATCACTCTTTGGACTGATCTGAAACAAGTTCACATGAAATGAATATCTACATTTGAACAAAACACTAATCTGGTAGGAGATTGAATTCATCCAATAACATTCTCCACCTTATATGGTGCAGAAACCCATCACCATATAAACTACCGAATGCACGCACACACACAAACAGGACCCACCCTAATACTTATTGCTGGAAAGTAAAAGGTACAGGTTGGCAAGAGACAAGATTTGGGGACACTAGAGTGGTGCATTGGAATACTCCTGGAGTTTACATGGTTAAAATTGCCTTGGCTTTCCGTTTCACGCACTTAGCATCTGGCAAGCTTCCAGCTAGGAGCACATGCCCCAAGAGGGCTTTAGCTTGCAGGATTAACAGGAACTGAATGATCAATCAATGACCCCAATGACTGGTCTACCCCTCCAATTCCTATTGATGCTTGGTTTGCCCTTAGTGCCTTAAGAGTACTAGAGGCCCACCTAGGTCAGCAATTAGACTAGCAAGGCTATCACAGAGGTTTGATTGGATTCCGGTACTGTATTGTGAGGCACATTATCTTTGAGCAAACACCAGCTCCAAAGAGACTATATTTCCCTCCATACTAAGGAGTTTAGTCACTAGATCTCAAAACAACCAGTGTGGAGCACACAACTTCCATCTTCTCCAATACTCCACACAACCCTTAATTAAGTTAAACAAATGTTTTTTTTCTAGTTGATGTCAAACCAACCATCCATTGTACAAATAGACCATCATACAGATCCTGGTGTGCGACATTTGGTTACACAGTGTGGGCCATGAATGATTCAAAATGTCATTATACATAGCCCCCAAGGTATCCTCTATCAGTCAAGAGCCACCTGGTTCTGCAATTATTAATAATATATTCAGAAAAAAAATCTGGCTTTGCTGTTGTCACACCTGGATAAATAAAGCCCCAAGCGATATTATAATGTTTCAAACCATTAGGCTCTTTGAATAACAGGTTCTGAAAATATTCTGAAAATGAGTGTTGCTATAATGTAAAAACAATGGCCATTATTTATATGCTTCAAGTCACTAGCATGGTGTAATGGAAGTCTCGTAAACAGTTCAAGCTCAGGTATCCCTGTATGACAACAGTGGGAAGACACCATTTACCTTTGATCTTGCTTTGCCATTTTCACCATATGAAGACATATCTTTAATTGCTTCCGGTGCCATAAAATTTAGTGTGCCAACCTGCAAAGCAACAGAGATGCAAGTTTGACATGCAATAGAAATGAAGGGACCAGGTAATATCATCCTGAAGTGCAGAGTCTATCATTGGCTTACGTTCCTCTCCACATACTGGAGAACAATTAGATGCCACTCAGCGATGTGAAGCAGAGTTTTGCCTTCACTTATGGCTTCACTGTTCAATTCAATCAGTTCTGGAACCACCTGCAACTAAATTGTCAGATATGGCAACCATTAAGGTGCCTTGTTTTAGTGGCCAATGCATTGGCAGGGAGTCTGCGTAGAGGCAGCTTTCTAGCTTTTCCTCAAAGGAGAAATAGTTTGCTCTTTATAATCAAAAACACATACTTTGAAGGACAAAGTATTGTACACTTTTGCAACTAGGCAAAATCATGATTGATTTGGTGGTGACCATTCGTAGCATTGAAGGGCCTATAAGGAATCTGTCAAGGTCAACACATTAGCAGCTAACACTAGAATTTGAAAAGTTTTTTTTTAAACATGATGGCACTAGATCAAAGGCAAGTTAATTATTCTAAGTTCCACAAGTGAAAACATAGATCCCCACTTACCACCTAACCCCCATGTGGCTAGTCTAACCAGAAGAACATAACATTCAATTATAGGCAAAGTGGCTTTTAAAAAATGGTAATATAATTGTTAGTGATCTACTGTTATTTCTAGTCACCATAATCCAATAGCATTTTTAATAGTAATAATCCTTGCATTTGATATAATGCCTGATCACATCTTTGAGACGTCTCAAAGCATTTTACAGAATATATCGTAAAGTGAATTGACTGTATATCTTGTGGGCATCCAACTGCACATAGCAGTGTCCCACAAACAGTTGTGGATTGAGTGATCAATTTTTTTTTTGAAGGGATTATTACCCCTAGAAAAGTGATTAGCCAATCGACTAACAACTGGGTTACTACTTACTGCTAGTTAAACGTGTGGGGTAAGGAAAATTACCAAACATTTTGCCCTGTTCAGGAATCAAATCTAGGTCGTCTCACTTGCGCTACAGAAAACGTTACAGAACTCCACAATTTTTCACTCACCTGTGCATCTTTAATAATACTGGTCACATCTGGCTGGATCTGGTTGGCAATACCAAAATCTATTAATTTCAGCATACCTTCAACCATCAGAAAATTGGCTGGTTTCAAGTCACTATGAATAATGCCTAGTGAAAGCAACAACAATCAAAGCTCCATCAATGAGATATCTAATGGCAGATACTAAAAGTTACAAGGAGCACAATATCTAAGACAAGTCATTTTACACCCTCCAGCCCAAAATGTCAAAAAAGAACTAAAACAATGGATCTCTGCAAAAACGTATTTCACTAGGAAACATTAAATTCCTTGCATTAAATTTACTTTGTTTACACATCATCTAGTCAGAATTCACAAGGATGCAATTAGAATTGTATGCTCTTTTAAAAAGCACACTAATTGGCAATACACTACATTGGATTTGACAAAGCAACATTTGATATTAAAAACGATTCATTGGCAAGAAATATCAGACCTCCATTTTTTTTCTGACAGTGAAGATCTAATATCTATTCAGTGACTGCCCTAAACAGGTTATTTAGAATTACTGTTCTCAACATAGCCCAGACTCGAGTAGTTTTGAAAAAAAAGTCAACCCGCATGAAAGTAATCCCTGCACGAGGTACCAATGGGAATTATATAAAAATCTGAAAAAAGGAGAAATATATAAAGGATAACTGAGAAGAGGAGGAAGAATGAAACTAAACTGATAGCTGTTCCAGAAAGCCAGCACAAGCACAATGACCAAATGCCCACTATCTATGCTGTAAATTCAGGAAGATGGGGAGGATTTGTTTTTAATTAGTGGATGAATAAGTAGATTTACCATGTTGATGGATTGTGTGAACTGCTTCCAAAATGTTTTTCCAGTAACATTTGCGTTCCAGTGGATTGATGACCTTTTTCTTTCTGAGAAAAGTATTTAAATCTATGTTGCCACATTCCATTACCATATAGATGTAGCTTTCTGTAATTTCACTGTGTTAAAAGGAAGCAATTAGGTAAACACGTTACTTACTGTACAATTTACATAATCTTTAGTCCCTGTTTTACCATGTTTAGTACAAAGTAATTCATCTAAAAATGCAGATTTCCTCAACTTCATACTAGCTATAGTAAGTAGATCTTATTCCCATAGATTTCTGGATAATAAACTTGCTGCAAAAAAATGTATTGCTATATACATGTCCATTCCCGAAGTAAGAATCACTTACAAATCAAAAAGCCTGATGATTTTATCACTGTGCTTTTGCAGACGTGCCAAGTATTCAATTTCATTCTTGTAGCCAGCTACTGTCTGAGGGTCTGCATCCTCCAGATTCACGAACTTAATGGCATACAACTGCTTCTTTTGGTCAAGGACTTGGAACACCTAATGAGACAAGATAGTTTACTTGCATTTTATTCTTCCAATGTCTTTTAAAACAAGCATTCTTAGAAAAGCCAGCATTCAAAGACATCATTGATGCTTTTCAAGCCTGCACAGTTCATCAATGATATTTGGAAAGGTAGATACGTCCTCACCCCTGTGAACCAACATCATAACAACAGTCCTAACCAAACAATTAATTTGTATACTGATAAATAACACTGGTAACATTAATAAAGAACCCTTATTAAAACACCACAGAATCCTCTCAATTGAATTAAGAATCTCACTCGATTTTGAACAGTAGGAAATCATAGGCTGACTCCATAGTCATTTATACACAAGGATAAGTTAATCAATCAAGGACTGTTGGTGGTTTTATTGCCTCATCTTCTGCTCCTTTACGACTGACTTAATGCTCTTTACTGTATTCAAACATGGTTTGTAAATAGTCAAGTTACTTTAGTTTGTACAATGAATATGCTTCATTTCAAAAAGATTCAATCACTGAGGGAAAGGTCACACCAGTTTCTAATGACTAAATTAAGATGCCATACGGACAACATAGCTCTTCAAGCTAAAACAACTACATAAATGCTCATGTCCCCATCCCCTTTCAATAGTGAATGCCATTGCCAATCAGTAAAGATATGTGCTTTGGTGCCAGGACCACTCATTTGGAATGCAACATCTCAGTTACTTTATATTTACAATCAGCTTATGGTTAGAGGCTGCAAACCTGAATGCTCAAGGCACAGCACTTTAGCCCTGAAGAGCCAGCTATAGTAGCTCCTCAAGTGTTAGTTATTTCAAAATTCTTTGTATCACATTCTTCCTATTGAAAATTAAAATGGAATGTGTGCAGACTATTACCTTACTGGATCCTCCAGTTCCAATAAGCTTTAGTATCATGTAGACTCTGCCCTTAATCACAACATTTTCGTTGGCCGCAAAAGAACCTGAAGCCTGATGGAGTAAAGTGGAGTCATTTGAAATAAGTGCTGTTTTTATATTTAAAATATTGCACTTCAGCTTATTACACATTATACAATAACTGTATATTTAAGCATTAATATTCAAATATTAAGCACCACAAAGGGGAACAGCAGAAAAATCTCAGAAAGTTCTAAATAACAAGACCAGCAACAGGCAGGAAAAGTAAAACAAATTAAAGTTAGAAGTGGAAATTTAACTGCTTGGAACATCTGAAATAAAATGGCGGAAGCAAAGGCACTGGTATCAATGGTAATCACATTGTAGTAGCACAGTGACTTGATATTAATGGATTAAGTACATCTAGCTCTGATTCATATGCTTAATGACAAAAGGACCAGACTAACATTTGGAGTTTGCTTCAAACTGCCAGACTAATAACTTGTCACTTTATGATAATTTGAGAAAAAGATTGTCCTATCAGGGTATTTCTATTACTTCAATATAAATTGAAAATGGCCAAGTGGGAAGGTCTCTGAGCTCATCGGTATAGTGCAAAATTGCTTGCCAACTCAGCAAGTCAAAAAGCACATCGCTCCACAAGTTAGTGACCCAGACACTATTTAGGGAGCAGAGGTAGTTGATTCACTAGGTAACAGTAACCATAGCTCAATAACATTTGATAATGCAAAACCGCACAAATACTAACCACATATGGAAGTTTAAACAGGGAAATTTGAAAGATATGAGGGCTGAACTTACTGACAAGACAGACATCACTGAAAGACAAATTGAGGATAAATCATTATGAAGCCCATGCAGGTCAAGCAAACACTCAAGTGTAGGAGGTGCAAATTAAACAAAAATGCTCCAAAGTAGATTACTAGGAAAACATAAAGGAAGATTATGCAATACACAACTGTTTGTGAGACTGCTGTATGCAATTGGCTCCCGCATTTCGCCCACAAAATACACAGTAAATTCATTTTACAATATATTTTGTGAAGCACTTTGAGGCATCTCAACAACGTAATAAGGTTCTATATCAAAAGCAAGGATTATTATTAAGACAAAAAATAAATATTTACAAAGCTTGTAGGGTGAAAGGATATCATTTGGCTAAAATAACACAGAAAAGGTTTAAATCTTACAGCAGTAAGCGGGCAATCAGGAAAGAAGCTAAAGACTTAAGAGACTAAAAGAGAATAAGAATAAATAAGAGAATAAACAGGAGATAATGAACATTAATAATAGACGATACTAAGCTAGGAAAAGTAGTTAATGGTGAGGAGGATAGCACCAGACTCCAAAAGGACTTAGACAGATTGGTAAAATGGGCAGAAACTTGGCAGATAAGATTTAATGTGGAGAAATGCGAAGTGTTGCATTTTGGTAGGAAGAATGAGGAGAGGCATTATAAGCTAGATGGTACAATCTTAAAGGGGGAAAATGAACAGAGACCTGGGGATCCACAGAAGCAAATCTCTGAAGGTGGCAGGACAGGTAGAGAAGCTGTTAAAAAAGAATACGGGATACTAGGTCTTATAGATAGGGGCATAGAATTCAAAAGTCAGGAGGTTATGTTGAATATTTATAAAATGCAGGTTAGGCCTCAGTTGGCGTACTGTGTTCAGTTCTGGGCACCGCACTTTAGGAAAGATGTTAGGGCATTGGAGAGGGTTCAAAGGAGGTTTACCAGAATGGTACCAGGAATGAAGGACCTTAGTTATAAGGAGAAGTTAGCGAAACTTGGATTATTCTCCCTAAAGCAGAGAAGATTAAGAGGGGATTTAAAAAGGTTTTCAAGATCATGAGAGGATTTGATAGGTTGAACCGGGAAAAACTGTTTCCACTGGCATGTGGGTCAGTAATCCGAGGACACCGATTTAAGATAGTTATTAAAAGAAACAGAGGGGAGGTTAGGGAAAAAAAAATTCACCCAATGAGTTGTGAATGCATTACCTGAAAGGGTAGTGGAATGCATTACGTGAAAGGGTAGTGGAAGCTGATCCAATAACAACTTTTAAGAAAGAAGTAGATGGGCATTTGGGGAGGACAGGATTGCAGGGCTATGGAGAGAAAGCGGGCCAGTGGGATTGAGTTGGATTGCTCTTTTAGGAACCGGGGCAGACGCGATGGGCCGAATGGCCTTTCTGTGCTGTATGATTCTATGATATTAAATGACTACTTTCTGCAGGTTTTCAAACAAGGAGGACGTGAAAAACATTAGACTAGGTATACCAGATTGAGGCAAAGAAGCTGAAATCTGAAGAAATAACGCAATGCTGAAATGAAAGGATAAAGGGTGTTATTCTGGAAGAAAGAGATCGAATTGGGTGAATTAGCTTCTCCATCTGAAACTCTTTTATAGGTCTAATTTTACATATCCCAGAGCAAAGTTTGCTTTTTGGAATGTAGATATAATTATGTGTAAAGTTTCTTTTTAAACAAAGTAGTCAATGTAAATGCAAACTTTGAGTAAATGCAAAAAAATACCTCCAATAGTGGTGGATGCTGGGAAGATCCATATTGTGGAAGCTGATCGTGACGTTGGTATGGCGTCGCTGGAGTATGTGGACCAGGATGTTGGTAAACCGGGGGAAAATTGCACGGAGTTGAGAATTGTGGCATCATCGAAGATTTGTTCATGACTGGAGTCTGCATACTTAGGGAAAAAATGTAAATTCCTCATGTGCAGTCGTTAAATTTGATATTTCAAATTAAGACAAAATGAAAAATGCAAGTTTGCTTCAAAAATCCAAGACACATCATCAGTACATGTTTAACAGACAAGATTGTTACCTGGTTGTGTAGTAACCAGATACTTTGGTGCTGGGTGTCTGACACAAAGACACTGGTGGACCTGCTGTTTTCCCAACACCTCCAGTCGGCAGCACTCTCTTTGGAGCAAACATTGAACCAGTTTTCTCAAATATTGCTGCACCAGTCTAGATGTTTTTTTGAATAAAGTAGAAGAGGACAAATAAAGTAAGACTCACCAAACATCATCAGGTGCTTAATTTAGTACTCAAGGTCTAACATTCAATTTAGTATTAGACAATAAGACCACGCGTCAAGCAGACTGTTGAAAATTCTTAATTCACTTTAACATGAAAGCCAGGTCTTTAAGAAATACAAAACAATGGCTTCCACCTTAAGACTGAATTTAACAGTTTCACAATTCTGCATGCTAAGAAATTAAGACTAAACTGCCCTACAAGCCAAGTTTTAAAATCAAAGCTGGGAGATCCAAAACAGAGGATTCTGGAACTTTTCATGCAGAGTGAAAAAAGAAGGAACTTTTTCATGCAGAGTGGAATTTCTGTCACAATTAGCTGTTGGGGCAGCAACCATGTGTACAATCAATAAAAAGGACTAGTTAAGGGAGCACCAAATTGAACACTATGGAGAAAAAGATAGAATATAGGACTAGGATCTCAGATAGTAACTCGGGAAGAGTATAAACACCGGCTTGACTGGAGTGATCGAATGGCCTGTTTGAGATGTACCTTCTATGAATCTATAAGCTAAGCCCACGGGAAATTTGGGGCCTCAAGTGGCAGTCCGCTCACACTTCCAACTCAAACCACGAGGAATTCAGATCACAGCCAGCCATGAACATCAGTAACTAATCACCTGGGCCAATAGAAAAATGTGGGAATATTTGCCAAAATTGTGGGCCATTTGACAAATTGTGGGGAAAATTGCAGAGGGATTTGATAAGATTTTTGGAAATTTGCAGAGGGTTGATTGATGCTATTGACGCATTTTGTGAAACAACCCAAATTAAACTATAGCAATATATTTTCTGAACATGTAGCTATGTTTAAAATATTAAAAATGTTAATGTTAGTAGAACAGCATTTACCAAGAATTGGTCGCAGGAGCTTAGTTTAGGCTTCAGGCGAAGCCTATTAACCGCTCGCGCTGCTACTCTCATCCCAACACTTCCCACGCCACGCATTTGCGACCAGAGCTGCTCCGCCCACAGTAACAGTGTCGAGCAAACAGCGTAACAGACCCAGGGCCGAGCATACTGTGTGTAGGTTTGTAGTGGAGGGGGTTAATTGTAGCGCATTTGTAGTGAAGGAGGGCATCTGTAGCCGGTTCCGCAGAAAAAGTGCGGCTGTACTTTTCTATTCGCCCAGCTGATCAGTAACCGTTTGAGGAATGTATGCTGCTATTCCATCTCCACCAAGATTAACCTCAAACCTCTTCTATTTTGTGAATTCCCCACTGTGGTCTTTAGGAAGTTGTGAGACTTATAAGTTATGTCAAGAAGTAAGAATTCTAGAACCCCAAAACTGTATAAGAAAATCCAACATGGTACTAAAAAGAATTATACAAGTACCTCAGGTGAAACATGCCCAAAGCCAGTTGCAGATATTTTTTTCTTCTTAGCAGGAGCAGATTCTGCAGAGTAGTTAGTGTACATTTTGGATTCTTTGAATCCCATTTCATTTGGGTGAACAATCTGTTTCTGAGATGCTGCAAAATATAACAACAACAAAATTATATTTATAAAGCGCCTTTCACGTCGGGAGGCGCTGGACAGTCAGGGATCAGGACCCAAGCATGGGGGAGGGGTGGGGTAGGGAAGGCAGAGAGATGGGAGGGCGACTGAAGGCACGATCGACGAGGAGGGACTTGAGACCGGCCTTGAAGAAGGCGAGGGGGGGGAAGCGAGGCGAAGGGACTGTGGGATGGAGTTCCAGACTGGGGGCAGAGAGGCTGAAACCTCGGCCACCGATGGTGGGGCGGGAGACATGGAGCAGGCCTCTGTGAATGGTGAGACCGGGCAGGTTGGTAGGGAGTCAGCAGGTCAGAGAGGTAGGAGGGGTCAAGGTCATGGATGGCCTTGAAAGTGAGGATGAGGATCTTGAATTCGATCACATCTCTGTGAAATACGCAAGATAGTTACTAATCATTAGTCAATCCAATCTTATTTCCTGTTTTTATATGGGAGGGATGCAAAAGCAAATATGAATTAAATTAAAAATATATTTTTTTATTAATCCAAAACGTTAGATTCACCTTTAAATGCCGTCGCCTGTATACCTATAAGAAATGAACATATAACTGAAGCAGAAGCCAGTGTGTTGATTTAAGAAAATAACTGGGTATGTTTATATTGTACGTTTCAAACAAAATACTCCAATTTAATAAAAACCATGCTCAAGCTAACATGATTTTTGTTTACAAATGGGTCCAGAGAGGAGAAAAAAATGGAGCAGGTGCTGGAACACCATCTTAGTTAACAACATCATTTTACATTTATAGAGTATCTTTCACATTGAAAGGATGTCCCAAGATTCTTAATAATACTAGCTTGACAACCAAACTCGAGGTGGAAGCCAAGAGGGGCACGGAAAGGAAAGATAATAATTATAATAATGACCCAAAGTTCGGTCAAAGAACAACAACAGCAACTTGGATTTATATAGCGCCCTCCAGTGTCTCAGAGCACTTTACAGTTTAGGTTCCCGGGACCGAGCCTGGGGGAGGAGTGTGAAGGTGACCAAAGGCGCGGTCGAAAATAAAGGTCTTCAGCAGAGACCTGAAAATGGGAAGGGAGGAAGCGAGATGAAGGGAGTGAGGAAGGCAGTTCCAGAGCCTCGGGGCATAGTGGCTGAAGGCACGGCCGCCGACGTGATGGTGGGTGAGAGGGAGGAGGGAGAGATGGGGAGGAAAGAGTGTAGAAGAGACCTGGAAGAGACTTGAGTTCAATTCCAGGCAGGGCGAAACCTTGGGCAAGTTTCCTTACTCCACACAGAGCCTAATAATAATCCCTCCAAAAACAAACAATAATAAATTGGTCATTTTCAATCTACGACTGTTTGTGGGACATTGCTATGCGCAATTGGCTGCTGCGTTCGCCCACAAATATACAGTTAATTCACTTTACAGTGTGTTCTGTGAAGCGCTTTGGGACGTCCTCCCGACGTGAAAAGCGCTATATCAAATGCAAGGATTATCATTATTATAGAAAGGTAGGAGCAGATGATGAGGAGGGTGAGGGGGACAGAGAGGGCGTGGTGGAGGGTGATAAGAGGCAGGTGGATGAGGCTGCCTGGCAGATGTTTAGTATTTTAGTTGAAAAGTAGTCCATGACTTCCTCGCACTTGGCATTTAATACGAAGATTGAGGAGGTCTGAGGAGGGGCATGGAGGAGGTAGTGGGTGGTGGAAAAAAGGATTTTGGGGTTCTGTTTACCTTCCAAGATGATGTTGGAGTAGAACGCCGTTTTTGCGCGCGTCAAAGAACGTCGGTAGCTGTGGAGATGCTCGAGCCACAGTTGGCGATGAACTGTCAGGTCAGTTTTCCGCCATCTCTGCTCGAGCAGACAGGTTTGGGTATTTTGGCGGGGGAGATGGTTGTTGTACCAGGGTATCGGGTGGGTTTGGAGATGGTCCTGGATTTTAGGGGGACAAGGGAGTTGAAAGTGGAGGAGGCGATCATGGAGCAGCTGGACGGATGCTTCAGGATCTCCGCGGATGGAAGGCCAGACGGATAGGATGTTTGATGAGAGGGCCTTTGTGAGGGTCACAGGGGGTAGGCCTTTTCCAAGGGAGGTAGAGGATGGTTGAGGGCTTGGTGAAGGAGAGAGGGATGTGAGAGGAGGAGATGAAAAAGTGGTCTGAGATGGCCTTGTCCACCATGCTGAGGTCGGAAATGTCAAGGCCATGGGTGATGATGAGGTCAAGTGCATGACCATGGTTGTGGGTAGGTGAATTTATATGGAGGGTAAGGTTTAGGGAGGAGAGGGGGGCAGTGAAATCTGCAGAAGTGGTGCAGGGGGAGTTTAGGTGGAGATTGAAATCGTCCATTATGAGTAGGCGCTCGGACCAGAGGGACAGGGAAGATAGTAGAGATGTCTGTGTGGAAGGAGCCGGGGGGGTGGGGGGCGGTAAACAAGGAGGATTTTCAAAGGGAAAGAGGGGTGGAAAAGGGTGAAGTGCTCGAAGGAAGGGAAGCAGCCAGAGGAGTAGGGGGTGAGACCAAGAGAGGCTTTGGAAATGAAGGTCACCCCACCGCCACTTTGGTTTGGACGGGGGGTGTGATGGAGGGTGTAGCCTAAGAGCCAAAGAGATAGGTCTTGAAATGGACCTTGAACGAGGTGAGGGAGGGAGCAAGTCGAGGGACTCTGGGATGGAATTCCGGAGAGAGGAGGCAGAAAGGCTGAAAGCCCCCCGCCAATGGTGGGGCAGGTAGTGGAGAACATGAAGCAGGCCATTACCCACTGAACGAATGGAGAAATCACAGAGGTATGGTGGAATGAGACTGAGGAACTTGACCTTCTGGAGGATGGGGAGTCAGAAGGGAATGATAGGCTCACAGAGCCTAGTGCAGGAAAAGACACAGGCTGTCGAGTTCTGGATAGTCTGCAGCTTCTTTAGGGGAAGTCTTAGTTGTCCAGTGATAAATCCATGGATGAGAGGCTCGGCGGCCCGAGGGGAGGTATTGACAGAGGCAATATTACAGATGTTGGGAAAGCTGAGCGGGTCAGAACACAGATGCTTGGTTCACCTCCAACCATTGCTTTTAATTTGCATTATCAAAAAAATGTGATGAAATACCTTCTTGCTTCTTTAGACCAGTTTTAAAGAAAACAGGAGAAATATCAGCCTTCTGAACATGCTTCTCAGACCTTTGTGAATCCCGGGAAATGGGAATACTTGATCCATGCTGGAAAAACAAAAATAATACTTTTATACACTTGACTGGGGAAAAACGGTGATATCATTACCAGCATTCAGTGATGGCAAAATTTGGTAAGTGTATAATTGCTTTTCAGTGGTCAATTCATGGAGCTGGGATCAAAAATCCATGAAGCCACTTTAAATACAACACTGATGCATCACTACGTAAAGGTGGAGTCCTGTAGCTCAGTGGTTAGAGCACTCGCTTTGCAAGCGAGAGACCTGAGTTCAATTCCAGGCAGAGGGCGAAACCTTGGGCAAGTTTCCTTACTCCACACAGAGCCTAATAATAATCCCTCCAAAAAAAAAAAACAATAATAAATTGGTCATTTTCAATCCACGACTATTTGTGGGACATTGCTGTACGCAATTGGCTGCCGCGTTCACCCACAAATATACAGTCAATTCACATTACAGTATATTCTGTGAAGTGCTTTGGGACGTCTAGAAGACGTGAAAAGCGCTATATCAAATGCAAGGATTATTATTTTATTATTAAGGTCAGTATCATCTGCAAACAAATCCAAAAGTTGATTACAGAATCAACAAAAAAGGTAGTTTCAAACCATGAATGTTCAGTGGTTTATTGTCCAATCCTGAGCAAGCGCCATTAAGTACCCATCCGCAATGTACAGTGATGCTAATTCAGCTCCATTAAAAGCAATCAGAGCTCACGGATGCATGAAATTTAAGAACATCTACTGAATCCCAATTTCAATATCACAAAATCTACCTAGAACTTGGCTCTTAAAAAAAATTATATCGACAGGGCTGATGGCAAGTTATCCATAGGTATGTCAACCCTCCCTTCATAACCTAAGTTTGAAAGCATTAAAAAAAGTTACCATAACGTCACATTCATAGCCATGCGAGTCTTCATCTTCACTGTTTGTCTGAGGCAATGACGAAACTGAAACACGCATGGCTTTCATTGAACTGGTTGATTTGAATACACATGGACAATTAATGAGCAGTTATTCAAAGAAAAATGAACCCTAGCAACTGTGAGAAAGTCTGTGTTATTCTGACAATATTCACATCTCCCATCAAATATTCTCACTCATGATATATATTCAATTACAACAAAGTATAAATTTTGTTAATTTACCTTATTAATGGCAATTGTCAAATATACTGAACATTTTTAGTATGTTGGTCAAACATATTTTAAAATAGCCATTGGAGATGAAACAGATCTCAGCAATATATAGCGCCAAAATCCACTCATGAAATTTTTCACTCCCTTTTATTATAATCATTCTACTGAAGCTTAAGTGAAAATAACACATATAATGCCAGCTCAACTATGCCAATGCCCCTGCTTGTCGGCCTTCCCAACTCTTCCTTCCACAAGCTGCAGATCATCTAGAACTCTGCAGCTCGTGTGTTCTCTTGCACAGGCTCCGTGACCCCATCCCACCCACCCTCGCCCGGCTCGACTAGCTCTCCATCCCTCAGAGAGTCAATTTCAAAATTCTCATCCTCACTTTCAAGGCCCTCCATGGCCTTGCCCCCTCCTTCCTCTCCGACCTGCTAACCCCTTATCAACCTGTCCGCTCAGCAGGCTCCGGCCTGCTCCATATCCCCCGGCTGGCCCGGCCCACCATCAGCAGTTGGGCCTTCAGCCTCTCTGCCCCACCCTCTGGAACCCCAACCCACATTCCCTTCGCCTCACTCCCTCCCTTGCCTCCTTCAAGGCACGCCTCAAGAATCTCCTCTTTGACCACCCTCTGTGCCCTCCACCTTCTCTGATCTCCCCACCCACCCGGGTCCTAATCCCTGACTATTCAGCACCTTGGGACGTCTTCTTGACATGTAAGGCGTTTTACAAATGTAACTTTGTATTGTATAATCACTAATTAGGTAATAATATGCTTCTAGACTTTACATATTCACAGAAGCAACATCCATCGTCTTTAATCCAGTCACCGAATCAGTCATTATTGGCTGCATGGGAACACTGACTGTTTGAGAGATCTAAAAAGAAAATAGAACAGAAACTCAAATGGGATGGGTGGTTTGTCATTTTTAATTAAATAGTATATTCATGAAAATCTTTAATACTTCATCTATCCTGACCGGCATTATTGAACAAGATGATAAAATTGCTGGAAACAAGTTCAACCTTCTTTCAGTAACACAACAATAGTGTTCAAAAGCTTTAGATAAGTTTTTGTGTCAACTATGAAATTGTTCAATATCGCAATTAATTTAAACATAAGGAATGATAAACACAAATCCCACTCCTTATTTAGTTTCAAATAGAATGAACATTAAATACCAATATACCAAATGGACTAGAGATTATAAATTGAGGGTAGTGGATCAATTTGGCCAATAAAGAGAAATACAAATGGTTAACATACATACATGTGACATGTAAAATGAGTTAGCAAATTCTCTCTATTAGAAGTTAATGCAGGAAGAATATTTCCTATAATGGTGGTGTTAAAAACTCCTACCTTATTGCCAGCCGTTTTCTTGAATTGCTTGAAAAGATTCTGCCCACACGGCACATTATTTTCTTTATTGAAGTCACCATTGTCAACCCTGATTTNAAAAAAATGTTTTTAATCAAAACTCAAGTCCACTAACAAACAAGGAGTGTAAGTAACCAGTGGTTTCACAAAAGCAGAAAAACAACACAATTACATTTGTATAGCGCTTTTTACGCTATAAAAAAAACGTATTTGAACTCAATCGAGGAAAAAAAATTGCTGAAGACCCATTTACCACTACTGCACTGCCTTTTATGAAAAAATAACAAACGTGTTATATAGAACAGCATACATTGTCGTTTTATTAGTATAGATCAATCATCTACAATACTGTAGTAGCTCAGATTAAAAAATAGATAAAAGCACTGATGAAGCAGAATATCATCAGGACACACAATATTTTCAGAGTAGGAAATATCCTACAAATTCAACCCAGCCCAATGGTTCAAAAATTTAGCAGAACATGTAGCATGAGACTCAGCGCATACAGTATCCTTTGACCCAAAATAAATGTACAAAATATGCAGTACAAAAGAATTTTAAAGCACAAGTAATTTCAACATCACCTTAACGATGAGATAGGACCATGTTGCAATTCTCCAGAACTATCACTGTTTTTCCTGTCCCTAGGTAGAAAGGTCGGTTTACTCTGAATCATTGTCACTACAAAAAAATAAATAGTTTCAAAATTATATAATGCTTTATTATAATAATCTTTGCATTTGGCATGGTACCTTTTACATTAGGACAACGTTTCAAAGCACTTCACAGGATTTACTTTGAAGTGGAGTAGCTGTGTAGGTAATCACAGCAACCATTTTCACACAATATCCCACAAATCGCCATGAAACAAATGACCAATTTTATTTGGGGAATTGTTGGCCAGGATACTAGGAGAAACTCCTTTCTCTCTAAATAGTGCTATTTATCTTTGACTGTCCTTGATGTCGTCCCAACGTGAAAGATACTATACAAATGTAATTTGTTTGTTCCGAATTAGTTTGGCCAATTTTAAAGTTATTGTTCAGTATCAAGATATCAGGCTGATCATAGTTGTGTAACTGCATTTATGTGCTTCAGACTTGCCGAGTTTTGAGATATTTCTAATATTCTTGTGATATTTTCATAAGATTTCCGAAGTTTGCTTTGTTAAGCCACACCATGTTAGAAAGATAATTGCAGAGATAATATTCAGAACAGACTAAATCTGTAGTCACAACACTGATTTGTTATTGTGTTTTTTTCTACACTCGGTCTTCCTCACTCTCCTCTCCACCTCATGTTCCAAACATTTACTTACCAGATACATTTTTTTTATCTCCTTCATCCGGCGGTACAAGCAGCATTTTCCCCTTGTTTAAATTGTAGAAAGCAACTTCTAACAGCTCAATGGGCTCTGCTTTGACATCCACAGCTTTCTGAAGAATTGTTCTACATTTCTTTACACAAGCTGTCCAAAAAGCAACAGTGTTTTAGTGACAAATCTGGATTATTATGATCAGAAGATTATAGCAGAACATAGTCATACAAACCTCGGTTCAGTTGAAACTGTGCATGTGCTATATGCACAAAGGCAAATTTCTTACAATTCACTCTACCCAAGTTAAATTGCTCTTGTGCTTCATCCATATCCACAAACCTGAGAAAACACACACCAATACTTGAGATTCTACACTTTAAAATCAAAATGAAATATTGACTGCATTAATCTAAACAAGCAATTCATAATCTGTAACCTTTATTGGGCATGAAAAAAAAGTTATTCTATTTCTTAATTGAAAGCTGCTTGACTATTCACTTTACTACAGGAGATGGATCACAGAAGGAGGTCATTTAGCCCATTATGTATGTGCCAGCTCTTTGAAAAGAACTATCCAAATCAATCCCACTCCCGTTCTCTCCCCATAGCCCTGCAAACTTGTCCTCTCCAAATAATTATCTACTTCTCTCTTAAAAGATGTTACTTGGGCAGGCTCCACTGGCTCCCCATCACTGAACGGATCGACTTCAAGATCCTCACACTCACTCACCAATCCTCCACCTGGCGCCTCCGCTTGACTGAGCATGTGAAAATATAGCTCACTAGGTGAGCTGTTCGCTGATACTCTACAGCATGGCATTTTTAAAATGTTATTGCTTTGACAACTATATCTGTATGTTTTGTAAGTGGAACAAGCTAGCTGTTATGCTTTTGCAAACCAATAGCACTTACGCTTTAAGTTCTGCAAATCGGACCAGGATGCGGGCGTAGCTCTCATTCGCAGCATGCCTTTCGACTGGTAAAGCAGCAACAGTCTCATCATACAATTCCAGAAGTTTATTCAATAGGGAAGTATTTGTTTGAGGATCACCCATCTTCTCCACCTTCTGAAGATAAGCCAACCAGTCCTCTGGGCAGTTTCCAGCAGACATAATTTGCCTGATAGTGCCAGTGTGATCTGTATAAAATATAATGAAAGTTTAAATGCAACAAGGATTTCTGACGGAAAACTGATGCAGATAAATACAAAAAGTAATGCAGGCACTGAAAGATCATACTTCAGATTAAACTTCACCCATTTTTAACAACTTGCATTTATATAGTACCCTCCATGCAGGGTAGTATCTCAAGAGTGCTTAACAGGCGGAGCCTGATTCCGAGCCGAGGGGAGGTGTCAGTAAGCAGTACAGTACACAGAAGGTGGTGGTTAATGGGTGTTTCTCGCAATGGAAGGAGGTGTGCAGCGGTGTCCCCCAGGGATCGGTATTGGGACCACTGCTCTTTCTAATATATATTAATGATGATCTGGACTTGGGCATAGGGAGCACTATTTCCAAGTTTGCAGATGATACCAAGTTAGATAGGGTAGTAAATAGTGAAGAAGACTGTGACGGACTGCAGGCAGACATACACAGAATGGTGGAATGGGCTGACATGTGGCAGATGGATTTCAATGTAGATAAGTGCGAGGTGATACACTTAGGTAGGAAAAATGATAGGAGGCAATGTAGGCTTGGTAGTTCAATCTTAAGAGTGGTGAACGTACAGAGAGATCTGGGCGTTTAATTAAGCGATTCATTGAAGGTGGCAGAGCAGGTAGATAGGGCAGTAAAAAGGGCATTTGGTGTACTGAGCTTCATTAGTAGGGGCATAGAGTATAAGAGTAGGGAGGTTATGGTTAATCTGTACAAAACACTGGTTAGGCCTCAGCTGGAGTACTGCGTCCAGTTCTGGGCACCTTACCTCAGGAAGGACATTAAGGCACTGGAAAGGGTGCAGAGGAAATTCACGAGAATGATACCAGGAATTGGGGAACCTTAGCTATGAGGACAGGCTGGAAAAGTTAGGACTTTTCCCATTAGAGCAGAGAAGGTTACGCGGGGACCTGATAGAGGTCTTCAAGATCATGAAAGGTTTCGACAGGCTAGATAGGGAAAAGCTGTTTCCGCTGGTAGGTGTGTCTGTGACTCGTGGTCACAGTCTTAAGATATCTACCAAAAGAAGCAGAGGGGAGGTTAGAAGAAATTTTTTCACTCAGTGAGTTGTTTGAATTTGGAATGATCTGCCCGAAAGGGCAGTGAAGTCCGATTCGATAACAGCTTTTAAGAGAGAACTGGATAGGTATCTGGGGAAGACGGGTTTGCAGAGTTATGGGGAGAAAGCTGGTGATTGGGGTTAGTGAAAGTCAGTTGCTCTGTCAAAGAGCCGGCACAGACTCGATGGGCCGAATGGCCTCCTTCTGTGCCGTAACTTTCTATGATTCTATGATTTTTCACTACAAATATACTTCTAAGAAGTCTGTTTAATTGTGGGGGGGAATAAAATTCCCAACTAACCTAGAGAAAGCATTTTGAATCTGGAATTTTTCTCCCTTTTAGAAACATTAAAAGAAAAGTGCATCAGAGAGTACCTGTAATATCCAAGGAGGATCTCAACTCCTCTGTTTTATTGGCTTCCTCATATTTCGTTTTGAGGTCTGCCAATCGACTTGTCAGTCGAGCCAGTCGCAACCTTGATTCACTGACTTCATCCTCCATTACTAAAAAAAAAGCTGTGAGGGGGAAAAAAGTAACAACATAACAGAGTTCAGTGGCAATTAACAGCATCCGATTAAAAAACATAACATCTGAACCAAGTTGACAACATACCAAGCTACAAATTGAAATCGCTTTCAGTCAGTTCTTCAGTTGATGTTTCCAGTTTCGACAAAACTGAGGTTTCATAAACGAATGCAGTTTTCCAGTTTCCCCATTTCAAAGCTGGTCAAGTATAAGAACACAAAATCAGGACAAAGATGCTGAGCTTAGTTTCCTTTTAAAGGCTCAGCTGGGGATATTATTTCCTTTTCTTCATTATTTTTTAAAGTATGCAATGGTTTTTCTCTCTATTTGTAGCAGTTTGCTTCTTGTACACATACAGCAAAAACAACATGACATTTCAATCAAAAACGGGTACATTTTGTTTGTGTGGTTGAGCTTCTGTTACACCAGGCTCATCTGTAAAAAGTTGGTATATATATCTTCGAGAACACACCTTCCACTAAGGGAAGGAGAAAGAAATATAAATACTTTGCATTTGTTATAGATGACACTTAGTGAACATTCAGGATTTATCCCCTGCCTGAAACATTTTCACTGACCCTGTTCACAAAAGAGAAGTTTGCAGTGTTTTATAGTTTACAATGTTCTACAGTAATTAAAATCTGCTATCTACTTTAGGAGCTTTTTATTTTTTAAAAAAATGAAATGTTAGCTGGATTGAGTTCAACACGCATTTAGTTTTGTTCAATGTTTAAATGTATTACATTCATTAATATTGTTAGCTATGTGGATACATGCCAGTTTAATACAGATTAAACTGTTCTATCAAATATCTTTACAAAATTCTTTCAAACAATTTAGACAACTATACATGGTTGTATTTCAGTGAAAGTTATAGCACTGTACAGCAGCAGATTCATACCACATTTAGCTTGCAATCTCATTTGGCAGCTCTGTTGCCAAAGACTCATTTGCCTCTGGAGTCATTAATGAGGACCTTGAAAGCTGGGTTCTTCAATATCTATAAGCAGCAAGGTAAATATTTCCTTGATGTATTATTGTCAGCATTAGTATTGCCACCATTTTACTGGGCAGGTCCACAGAATAATGTAGATGCCGATATAGTCCTCCGACTTAGGACATCCATCATTTACAAACTATAATGATCTAAATCTCATTTGGAAATGCATAATATGCATGAGTGTACAGTAATATTACTCACATGTTTGACTTGGATCTTGGTTCTGGTTTAACTCCCAGGTTATTCCAAACCACCTATTCTGGAAGTATATTAGAATCACTCTGGGACACACTTCCTCCCCCCTACTTGTGGAGTCCTGTAGCTCAGTGGTTAGAGCACTCGCTTTGCAAGTGAGAGACCTGAGTTCAATCCCAGGCAGAGGGCGAAACCTTGGGCAAGTTTCCTTACTCCACACAGAGCCTAATAATAATCCCTCCAAAACCAAAAACAATAATAAATTGGTCATTTTCAATCTACGACTGTTTGTGGGACATTGCTGTGCGCAATTGGCTGCCGCGTTCGCCCACAAATATACAGTCAATTCACTTTACAGTGTGTTCTGTGAAGCGCTTTGGGATGTCCTCCCGACGTGAAAAGCGCTATATCAAATGTAAGGATTATTATTATTATTATTACTCAGCAATATCACTGAAGTAGCCCAACAGACCAGGCTGTCATCCCAATAATTTATAAAAATACTTTGCTTGTTTAAAAACTGACAAGCATAAAACTTTCTATGGAAGCTTGAGTACTTTAGAAACTTACTAATAGTCAGCAAATTGAATTTTGACAATATCACACTGACCTCGGTAACAATGTTGTGTTAGAATAGTATTGGGCAACCCCCATTTATAGCAACTCCTCAATATAGCTCTGCCTTGCTTTTAGACCAGGTCTACTACAGACCTGCGCTTACTGAAAATGCAGTACAGCTGGCTTCTATTGTTTAAAAAAAAGCCAACTTTCCTTTTGTCAGGTTCCTACAAAGTAGCAGGCGTTGGTGTTGCTTCCCAGTTTAGCATGCAATAAGAGACACGCTTATAATATGGTACCTGGGAGACTGAACCTATCCGATTACATTATAACAAGGTTTCTTGGTATAATGGTGAAATGTTAAAGACCGCAAAAACTCTTTTCTTCTGAAATAATTTGTTTACACTTGATTTTCAGGGCTTAAAGAAATAAAAAATTCAAAAATAAATATTATATGGTGTTTCTCTTAGCCCCCACTTGTTTTTGCTCTCAACATGAAAATATGAATTCAGGGATTAAGTCACTGAACACCAAACCAACAAATACAGTAAAGAAATAGAAAAGAAAACATACACAAAGAGGACAACAAGCACTGGTATCTAAGATTTTAAATGGCAAATTTTAATATTCTATCTGCAATAAATCAACTGCAAACCACAACTTCACTTGTTTCTTTCTCATTTCTCGACTCCATTAGCTTCAGAGGATCCAGTTCAAGATCCTGGTCCTCACCTACAAAGCCCTCTATGGCCTTGCCCCACCCTACTTCTGCGACCTTCTAACCCCCTACCAACTCGCCCGCTCCCTCCACTCAGCCGGCTCCGGCCTGCTCCACGTCCCCCGCCCCACCCACCCCACCCCACCATTGGCGGGAGAGCCTTCAGCCACTCAGGCCCCAACCTCTGGAATTCCATGCCCCAGTCACTCCGCCTCGCCCTCTGCTTAGCCTTCTTCAAGTCCCGCCTCAAAACCCACCTCTTTAACCGTGCCATCAGCCACCCCCCTTCCCCTCCTTTCTCTCTCCCCTAACCCCAGCTCAGGTCTGAAATCCTGTATACTGTCCAGCGTCTTGGGGCGTCGTTCCGACGTGAAAGGCGCTATACAAATGTAATCTTGTTGCTATTGCTCTCATTTCCTTTGTCTCATCATAAGAGAACCAGCTTTCAGCCACTTTGACTTGCTTCCTCTCTCCATGCCTGGAAATCCCTGCTTCATTTCTATGTTCTCATGGCAAATTGGCTGCAATGCTCAACTAGAAATACATTCAGTCTGTTCTATTGCAGTCTGAGCCCTCAAGCCTAGCTCAACTGGTGGCATAAGAGATTGTAGGAAAGTTGCAAATTCAAGTAAAACAACAATTCACCAAAATAAATTTGTCATTCAACTATGTGTTAGTGGGACATTGCTATGTGCAAATTGGCTGTTCGCCTACAAATTAGTTAATCGTAGTGGTTATTATGATTATAGTTAAGCATGTGACACAGCGAAGGGATTTGCTGAAGTGTGCTGGTCAACAATCCTCCAGATAAAATCTGTGATTCACTTTATGGCCTCGCCCCACCTTGCCTCCTTCCCTTATCCAGGGCCTCAGTTTCTTGGATATCACAATCACAGACAAAGCCATCTCCGATTACCATTTCATCTCCTTTAACTCCTCAATCCCTTTCCCCACCGCCACTCAACCCACCTCAATCTTCTACCACCCCTGGAAAAAAGTCTCCCCGCAATCCCTCTCCGCTGCCCTGGAGTCATCTGAACTTCTCCTCCTCTGGCCTGCATCCCGCACTGATTTACCCTCCGCGTTCACTCTCCTCCACAACTCCCTCTCCGCCATTCTTGATGCCCTTATCCCCTTCACCACCTCCTACTCACGAACCTCACCCTGGAACACCAGCCACCTCCACTCCCTCAGGAGTCAGATACATGCCGTCGAACGCACCTGGCTCAAATCTGATTTTACAGTCCCCCAGCAGATCTGGCTGGACCATATTAAAATGTACCACTCCGACCTCATCTCCGCCAAATTGTCCTTCTACTCCAAGATACTCTTGGAGACAAAGGACAACTCTAGATTCCTATTCTCCACCACCAACCATTCCTCTGTCCACCCTCTCATGCCTCGCCCATTCTCTCCTCAAACTCTGACTGTGAGGAGATGCTGAGCTTCCTTGAGTCCAAAATCAAGGGGATCTGATCAATTGCCTTCTCTCTTCCAACCCTCACTCGCTCCCCTTCTCCCCCCTACACTCCGACCCCTACCCATCCCTCCATCCACATTTTCGAACCTGTCTCCCCCTCCTCTCTCATCACTATCATATCCAGCATGAAACACACCACCTGCTCCCTTGATCTCATCCCTCTCATTACCTCCCAGCTCCACCTCTCTCTACTCTCCGAGACCATCAATCTCTCCCTGTCAGCTGGCACTGTTCCCACTCCCCTAAAAAGAGCTATGATCACCCCAACCCTGAAAAGCCTTCCGTGGACCCATCCCTGCTTTCTAACTACCGGCCCATCTCCAACCTCCCTTTTCTTTCCCAGGTCCTTGAAAAAGTTTTTGCCAGCTTCGCTCCTTCCTCTCCTACCACTCCTTTCACAAGCCCCTCCAATTGGGTTTCCGTGTTGCTCACAGCATGGAAACTGCTCTGGTCAAGGTGACAAACGACATCTTGTCCATCTGTGACTAGGGCTCACTCTGCCTCCTCGTCCTCTCTGTTGCCTTTGATACTGTGGACCACTCCATCCTCCTCCAATCACCTCAGCCTTCAAGGTTCTGTCCTTGAATGGTTCAGGTCTTATCTCTCACACCGTCTCCAATTTGTCTCTGTCAACAGTTTCTCTTCCAGCCTCCGCACAGTGTTCTTCAGGATTCTGTCCTCGGTCCCCTCTTCTTCAACATCTACATGCTCCTTCTTGGTGACATAATCCGCAGACATGGGGTCAACTGCCATATGTACACGGATGACACCCAACTCTCTCTCTCTCTGCCTCCACCCTCAATTGCAGGACTACTGACGTCCTGACAAACTGTCTGTCAGACATCAAATCCTGGATGAGAGCCAACTTTCTACAGCTGAAAGTCAGCAAGCCCTCCTGATAGGCTGGTTCCAGTGCCTCCGCACCTCAGGCACTGGCAGCATCAGCATCCTACTTCACCAAGCCAATAGGAACCTGGGCGTCTTTTTCGACCCTCAACTGTTCTTTCTCCCCCACATCCGTCCCATGACCCATTCTGCCTTCCCCCACCTCCGCAACATTGCCCGACTCTATCATGGCCTCACCCACGCATTCATCACCTCAAGGCTTGACTACAGAAACTCCCTCCTTGTTGGCCTCATCTCTTCTTTCCACAAGCGGCAAATCATCCAGAACTCTGCAGCTCGTGTCGTCTCCCGCACCAGGCTCCGTGACCCATTCACCCCACCCAGCTCCACATCCCCAGAGGATAGAATTCAAAATCTGCATCCTCACATTCAAGGCACTTTGAGTGCCTCCACAGCCTTGCCTCCCTCCTTCCTACATCTCTGACCTGTTAATCTCCTATCAACCTGTCTGGTCCCTCTGTTCAGCAGGCTCCGACCTGCTCCATGTCTCCCGCCTGACCTACCCTACCATTGGTAAAGGGCCTTCAGCCTCTCTGCCTCCACCCTTTGGAACTCCATCCCACAATCTCTTTGCTTTGCTCCTTCCCTTGCCTCCTTCAAGGCATGACTCAAGACCTCCTTTTTGACTGTGCCGTCAGCCATTCTCCTACCCCTCTAATTATTATATTATTAATAGTCTTGAAAATGTTAAATACCTGGGAGGGCAGAAATATCCACAGATATCAACAAAGCAAGAATTAAGTCATAGTAACTATGGCCAAAAATAATTATTCTTCCAACACCATTCTGTTTATCATAATATTTATAATTGATTTGATATAGCACCTTATCACAACATTGATATGTCTCAAAGTGCTTCAGAGTATATATATTAAAAAAATTGGTCACTCAATCAATGACTGCTTGTGGGACACTGCTGTGCGCAATTGGATGCCGCATTTCGCCCACAAAATATAGTCAATTCACTTTACAGTATATTCTGAGAAGCGCTTTGAGACGTCTTGAAGACGTGATAAGGCGCTATATCAAATGCAAATATTATTATTATTTCAAAGTGAATTGACTGTATTTTGTGGGCAAAATGTAGCAGCCAACTGCGCACACCAGTGTCCCCTCAAACAGCTGTGGAGTTTTTTTTGCGAGATTCCCCCCAGAAAGCAATCTGCCAAACTAACAACCGGATCCCTATTTACTGCTGGGTAAACATTAACGTATTACATACAGTCCAACCTTCACATCACCAACCACAGCAGCTTTAGACTCATACTGGGATCCGGCAGGCCTGGGAGCAAACCAAGGTCCCAGAGCAATACCAGCAGGAGGAAACGATTAGCAGGAAGAAACAGAGGCACAGATGGGGGAAGCGAGAGGCAGAGAAAGAAAGGGAGATCAGCCGGGTCATCCTCCGTCTTCAGGCCGCTAACAGGTTAAGTGTTTATTTCCAGGTGGCAGTTTGAATGTAGCCTCTTCAGTGGCGGGAGCCGGCTGCAGGCCCAGGCTACATTCACTCACTAGCCCCCTGCACTCCCTCCGGCTCCTTCACTCCTCCCTCCCCATCCTCACTCCTCCCACCTCACCATCTCTCCTTCTTCCCCATCACTCCTTCCTCCCTGTCCACCCTCACATTGACTCCTCCCGCCCCACCCTCACCATCACTCCTCCCGCCCCACCCTCACCATCACTCCTCCCGCCCCCCCTCACCATCACTCCTCCCGCCCCCCCCTCACCATCACTCCTCCCGCCCCACCCTCACCATCACTCCTCCCGCCCCCCCCTCACCATCACTCCTCCCGCCCCCCCTCACCATCACTCCTCCCGCCCCCCTCACCATCACTCCTCCCCCCCCCCCCTCACCATCACTCCTCCCCCCCCCTCACCATCACTCCTCCCCCCCCCCTCACCATCACTCCTCCCGCCCCCTCACCATCACTCCTCCCGCCCCCCCCCCCCCCCCCCCCCCTCACCATCACTCCTCCCCCCCCCCCCCCCCCCTCACCATCACTCCTCCCTCCCCCCCTCACCATCACTCCTCCCCCCCCCCCTCACCATCACTCCTCCCGCCCCCCCCCTCACCATCACTCCTCCCTCCCCCCCTCACCATCACTCCTCCCCCCCCCCTCACCATCACTCCTCCCACCCCCCCCTCACCATCACTCCTCCCACCCCCCCTCACCATCACTCCTCCCCCCCCCCTCACCATCACTCCTCCCCCCCCCTCACCATCACTCCTCCCCCCCCCTCACCATCACTCCTCCCTCCCCCCCTCACCATCACTCCTCCCCCCCCCCTCACCATCACTCCTCCCCCCCCCCCTCACCATCGCTCCTCCCGCCCCCCCTCACCATCACTCCTCCCGCCCCCCCCTCACCATCACTCCTCCCTCCCCCCCTCACCATCACTCCTCCCTCCCCCCCTCACCATCACTCCTCCCGCTCCACCCTCACCATCACTCCTCCCTCCCCCCCTCACCATCACTCCTCCCTCCCCCCCTCACCATCACTCCTCCTGCCCCCCCCTCACCTCCCCACTCTCACTCCACCCTCACATTGACTCGTCCCCCTCACCCTCCTATTCTGTCCGTGCGCTCTCATTCACCTTCTTTATCACTCCCTCACACCCACTTTCTCTCTCCCTCATCATTCCCCCTTCCCCTCTCCCACTCTCTCCCTTGTATGTATGTATGTATTTCTCTCACTCACCCTCTCGGCTCCTCTTTACTAACTGCCCACGAGTTCAGCCGTTATCTTCAAACTTCCGCACTCCCCAGCAAAGCTCACTCTCATTGGCCAACCAGCCTGGCCTGACGTCAGCCCAGGGAGTTCGATTGGCCGGGGAGGGGGCGGGGCCTCAGTCGCCGTTGCCGCCGTCTGATTGGACAGTTTGAATGTTCGCGCGCGGAGCTACATTGGCGCGTGGCCAGAGCCGCCGCGATCAGCGCTGCGCATGGAATCAGGAGCCTCCAGGTCCAGCCATCTCCGGCTGTGTGTCTGTCTGTCTGTCACAAGGGGCGAGACCATCCATAAGTCGTAGTTAGTCAGCGCCTTGAGATGTCCTCTCGAAGTGAAAGGCGTTATACAAATGTGGAGTCCTGTAGCTCAGTGGTTAGAGCACTCGCTTTGCAAGTGAGAGACCTGTGTTCAATTCCAGGCAGAGGGCGAAACCTTGGGCAAGTTTCCTTACTCCACACAGAGCCTAATAATAATCCCTCCAAAACCAAAAACAATAATAAATTGGTCATTTTCAATCTACGACTGTTTGTGGGACATTGCTGTGCGCAATTGGCTGCCGCGTTCGCCCACAAATATACAGTCAATTCACTTTACAGTGTGTTCTGTGAAGCGCTTTGGGACGTCCTCCCAACGTGAAAAGCGCTATATCAAATGCAAGGATTATTATTATTATTATTAATCTTGTTGTTGTTGTTGCTGTAGTTCTCTTTCCTTCCTCTGGTCAGACTCCCAACTTGCACTCTGGGGTCCACAAGCCGTCCCTCTTGCCAATGTGCCGTTCCTACTCTCTGGAATTAGGTACGTAGGGTGGAGCCCTCCAAAGAGAGTGCACCTTCCATCCTCGACTGGAATTTCCACGTGCAGGTGGCACGCGTGTTAATGGGTTTCCCCATGTGTCAGACACCTGGCTGCCCATCCCCCCAAAAAAGGGATGCAACTTGCTTCTGAGTCATAATATTGTGGGTTTGATCCCTAAATCGAAACTTTTAACTCATATAGTCCAAGATGACATTCTGATGTATTGCTTGGGGGTGTATGCTAGATTGTGAGAGATGCCGTCCTTCAGATGAGATGCTAACCAAGGTCCCATCTGTCTGTTCGGGTGGACGTTAAAGATCTCATGACACAACACGGCCACTCAGTACTGTTAAGCACTTTGGAACATGCTCCTGAAGTATACTATATAAATGTAAATATTGCGAGGTATTGGATTTGAAAAGAAGAAGAGTTTCTCTGAGTGTCCCGGTCAACAGTCCTCCATGAAAAAATGGTAATTCACTTCAAAGCATGGAACAACGCTGTGCGAATTAGCTGCCCTTGTTCGCCTTCAAGATACACAGTCACTACACTTCACAGTACAGCCTGTAAAATACTTTTGAGACATCATACCAATGTGAAAGGCATTCTATCAAATGCAAGGATCTTTACAAGTATAGGAGTGCAGCCAAAAGATTTAGAATGTGACAAACTGAGGGTTGCAACCAGTTCAGATAACATGGCCCATCCCTAACTTATAAATGCACCAGAAGCTCAGAAGCATTGTATCTATATATTTTTAAATCTATAGCCTTACAATCTCAGGCCCAATCCTATACTCGTAGATAGATATTTCTATACAATTGCATTTATTATAATTATACTTATCAGCAATCTATAACCCCATTTTGATGATGAGCGTAGATTAGTGTCTTTAAGGTGACTTACCTTCAGCACAGGTGTCTTACTTTGAGCCTAATTGTAAACTGGACAGTGCCCCTTCAAGTCTTATGATCTCAACTACCTGTAATCCAATTTGTACAGAACTACTGGACTAATGCCTTCTAATTTTATAACTGAGAAAGTGCTCAAGAAAATGCCAAATGCACAGGGAATGAATAAATAAATCCGGCACTATTGTAACCTTACAAGCACATCAAACACTGGAGCTACAACATATAAATTTATGATCACGATTCCTTACTTTAAGATCACAGACCAGGCTGGAGGAGTTTTAAAAACAGAAGTTGCTGAGAACACTCAGGAGGTCAGGTAGCATCTATGGAGAAAAGAAAGTGAGTCAACGTTTTGGGTCCATGACCCTTCATCAGAACTGTTCGTCATACGAAGGACAACACCTCCAACAATTGGGGCATGTTGGGAGGGAGATGCTTTTAAGGCTAACAGGAGGGAGGCAGAGCAAGGAAGACAAAGGAGAAAATGGGATAGAGGACGGGATGGTGAGCTAAAGATGTGTAAATGATGCAAAACAAAGGGGGGGATTGCTTAACAAATTTAGCAAATGGAGAGATTATCATTACACAGTAAATTCCAAATTTCCACTTCCTAATTCTTCATCACCAAGTGTAGATTTCCTGGTTTACAAATTATTCTAAATATTAAACGAGAAGACTACAAAGTCCACATAAAGATGCAAATTTTGAATGAGTGCTAACCAGTTAAAATCAAATCAATAAAATGTGTTGATAAAAATGTATTGAAAAATATATTTTAAAAATCACATGTAAATATGTGAAAAACAATATTTAATATGTACAATAATTGGAAGGTTATGTAAAACTATTAAATGTAGTCTTTAAAAAAAAGTTGAATAAGACCATGGTTATAATGGCTATTCATATAGAAATAGTAATTATTTCTTGTGTGAGGTTATCTATTTCATTGGTAAACTAAACTCACTGAAGGAAATTGAAGGCATAACCCAAATCCCACCATTTTATCACTATACAAACTTATATAAATAAATCTATATTCCTGATGATCCTAAATCCAAATTCAATTTCTTTCCCTTGAAATGCATCCCACACATTCTCTTTTCCTATTCCTTCCACAAGAGTGTGCACAAGCATATGCAAATAGTGCAATTTTTTTAAGAACCCAGGTGAAGGGGGAAAAGCCCACAGTCCTCTGCATCACCAAGAGATTGAACAGCGTAGCAGAAGAAATGAGATACTGTAATTGCTTAGGTAATACAAATGTAATTTGTACTTGTTCTAATGGCAAGCTTGTTACTAAAATATTGTAGAGGAAAGGATTGAGGGAGTTATATTGTCATTATCTCAATACCTTGACAGAATGAGTTAGAATAGGAGATACTAATTTTTTTTGATAGTGACAAATTGAGGATGCAGGAAAGAGTAAGAGTGAGTAAAACAATGCACTTGGAGTTTGAGCCAAGCCAGGAAGGAACATTTGAAGGAACAAAGACCATAGCAGTACCAGTAAAAGAGAAAGGCAAAAAGGGGGCTTCTCGGCCTTTTGGCTAAGATCAAGTGCAGTATCTGTTCTTATCGGTTTACTCCTTGGGTTGTGTGCCTGCAGTTGGCCGTGTAGAGATACCATAATCTGAATCTCCCCATAATGCATTTATGGGAGGCTGAGCTCCTGTCAGCAGAGCAATGCCTTCGTCCCTCTGTTAGCTGAGATAACGGTTGCAGGAGCCCTCGATCTAATGAGTTTGATCTATCCTCTCAGAGGAGCAGAGAAACTGGAATACAAAACTAGTTTGTGCAGTTGGTGTCTAGGCCCAGATCGGGCTTTCCCGGGACAGAGATGCGATCCGGTCACTTGACTTGCTCAGGTAGACGTGAGCTTGGAATCAGGTCCCCATCGTCCTTTGATGATTTGAGAACTTGATTAAGCGTGGAAAAAGGATTATCTGGGGGACAACTCTCATTCTTGTTTGAAGAACAATCACGCCTAAACATAGAAATTCCAGAGATATTTTATAAGAATGGAATGCACACTCTCTACATCCTGATTACCCAATTCTGGAGAGCATTAGGTGCAGGTTAGCAGGGGCCAAAGCTTGGGTACCTCAGAGTCTAACCAGCTAAAACTGCATTGCTTTCCTGCTGCTTGTCCAGCTAGGACTACCCTACGTGTTATGGCTTTGGCTTACAGAGTTACCGGGAGCTGAGTGGGAAGAGTCCCTGTGCCCAGTGTCTTGTCTGCCTGCCCAAGTCTTGCCAATGAGTCAGGCTGGCTGTGCTGTCATCAGCAGTGCCCTTGAATACTACATGCTTCCCTGGCTCAAGAATCAGACAACCGAGATGGCCACAGAGGATTGGCTCTATTCTGACATTCCATTGCAAAACATGTCATCTTGGAGCCAGTTCAGTTCCAAGGAGACCCCGCTTACCTTCTCCCCCCACCCTCCAGAGGTCATTAGTTGATTATTTGACATCTGACAAGCGCGGGTTTGAGCCCTCACTAGGTGGACAGCAATTACCAGGAAATCCCTGTGAGCTTCCTGGTGGGCAACACAGCTCAGCATAAAATGCCTGAGTGCATTGCCACCATCTTCCTATGCCCACAGCTCAGACACACATCCCTTCCCATTGAACGATGGTTCCACCAGTTGGAACCTCGGAGCTTGAGCAGCATCTGCTTACCTCTCTGCAAACCAATCAAGGTGGATTCCAGGCACTGGATGTACGAACATATGTTAACAAACTTGGACTCAAGAAAATACATTCTAGAAGTTGTCGCCCGAAGCATCAGCATTTCATCACCAGCTATCTGACGAACGTCTGCCCTCAGTGTGGTGGGAGCACCTTTAGAGGAACTTCAGCTTGTGACGTGCTAGCCATCATGATGTTCTCGAAGTCCAAGTCCAATGCCACATACCATCTTACACAGCACCAGCTTCTTAATCCAACAACAACACCAATTTGCATTTATATAGCGCCAGTCCTCATCCGAGGTGCTTGACTAACAGAAGTACCCACCATGAAGCTGCCTCCGCCTCCAGGGTACTTACCGACAGGTCAGTGTAAACCGGAGCCCTCCTTTCCTGCAGCTGCTTCCCATGTTTGCCACAAATCCACCTCACTGCTTGATCCTGATCTTTGCAAATAGGCCAGAGGACGCCCCTCTGCTATATCTCCAGAAGCTCAGATCCACAAAAGAGAACTGTTTGCACATACATTTTATATGGCACAAGCTTAACCTGCATTGGGACTTGCTGTCCTTGAAGAGATGAGCACAACCAGAGTACCTTTCGCCCCTTTACGGATTCCTTTAAGACTGTATCCAAATAAAAGTTGGTGTCCACCATAACTTCAAGTTACTGATAATATAATAATAATAATCCTTGCATCTGATATAGCGCTGTTCACGTCTTCTAGATGTCTCAAAGCGCTTCACAGAATATACTGTAAAGTGAATTGACTGTATATTTGTGGGCGAATAATCAACAATTGAGACTGATGCCCTTTGTATTCCAATCAATACTCTCAATGTCTTCTCTTGAGCTGTACAGAACTACATTTCGGCACCTATGTCCCAATGATCAAGGTAGCGAATGCAGTGCAAAAGGTCCGCAGGTCAGTCGACCGGCAGCACAATAGTGTGTAAACAGAGTGGCCAGAAATTAAAATACCAATTGTAATTGGTAAATAAAATTGTAATCCAAAGTCAACCAAACACTAGCCCAATATTATTCATTGCCTACTATGAGTACTTGAGATGTCTCGAAGACATGAGAAGGCGCCACAACAAATGCAAATGCAAGGATTATTACTAGGAGTGGTCGAGGGGCCAATTTACATGAGTGCTTTTGAAACCATGTAAGAAAAGGTCTTCAAAGGGAGGGGAAAAAAAATTTAAATGAAAAATAATAATAGTAAAATCCGTGCATTCGACGCAGCGCTTTATCACGTCTTCGAGACGTTGCAAAGCGCTTCACGGAACAGAGCGTACGGTGAATCGACCGTACGTGTGTGGGCGAAGCGCGGCAGCCAACCGCGCGCAGCCGCGCCCCACAAACAGTGGAGGGGATTGAGTGACCAAATTATTATTGTGTTGGAAGGAATTATTAGCTTATCATCGCCTGCGTTAGAAGCCACAGCGGCGCAGAGCAGAGACTGGCCGCCCAGTGACAACCCGGGGGCGGGGCGGGGCCGGGCCGAGCCGAGCTGCGCAGACGCAGTCCGTGCGGCACCGGGTTGAGTGACAGGGGACGCCGCATGCGCAGTGCCGGGTGTGTCGGTTGGGGGCTGATGGAGGGTCAGTGACGGGAGGGACGCGGTGTCGGGCGGCCGCGGGTTGTGAAGCGGCGAACACCACACGAGGGGAGTGACCGACCGTCCGTCCGACCGACCGACCGACCGGGGACCTGTCAGCGGAGCCGGGCCGGGGGCTGGGGCTGGGCCGGGGGCTGGGCCGGGGCTGTCCCGGGAGAGGCGCTGACCTTGTGCTGCAGGTGAGGCTGCGGCTCCCTCTCAGCGCCGAGCAGATACCCCCCCACACCCACACACACACACTGACTGACTGACTGACTGAGGTAAGAGCAGCGCCCCCCCCCCCCCCCCACATACACCTCTATCGCATTGCACCCAACTCCCCCCCTCCACACACACACACACACACCTCCAGGGGGTTGCATTGTGAAAACAAACTCTTGTTTTATTTACTGAATGAGATTGTAGGGGGGTGTGTGTGGGGGGGGTTAGGGGTGGGTGTGGGGGGGGGTTAGGGGTGGGTGTGGGGGGGGGGTTAGGGGTGGGTGTGGGGGGGGGGTTAGGGGTGGGTGTGGGGGGTTAGGGGTGTGTGGGGGGGGGGGTTAGGGGTGTGTGTGGGGGGTTAGGGGTGTGTGGGGGGGGGGTTAGGGGTGTGTGTGTGGGGGGGGTTAGGGGTGTGTGTGGGGGGGGTTAGGGGTGTGTGTGGGGGGTTAGGGGTGTGTGGGGGGGGGGTTAGGGGTGTGTGTGGGGGGGGGGTTAGGGGTGTGTGTGGGGGGGGGTTAGGGGTGTGTGTGGGGGGGGTTAGGGGTGTGTGTGGGGGGGGGGGGGTTAGGGCTGTGTGGGGGGGGGTTAGGGGTGGGTGGGGGGGGGTTAGGGGTGGGTGTGGGGGGGGGGTTAGGGGTGGGTGTGGGGGGGGTTAGGGGTGGGTGTGGGGTGGGGGTTAGGGGTGGGTGTGGGGGGGGTTAGGGGTGGGTGTGGGGGGGGGTTAGGGGGGGGTGGGGGGGGGGGGTTAAGGGGGGTTGGGGGAGCTGGTTGGGGGGCTGCGTGTGGGGACGGCGCTGGAAGGTCAACGCAATTTTTTTTGTTGGTAGGAAAAATGAATAAATGATTTTCTCGGAGCTCAGCTCCCTTTCAAATCTGTTTTTTCTTCTTGTTTTTATTACAATGTGCTGCACACACACACACACACAGTATGTATAATATCGGCTCACGTTATGGTGTTTGAATGGCTTCTGTGGATTAACTGCTCCTCAAATTGATTTGTTTTTTTGATCAGGACCGTTTCTCGTCTCTTAATGACTTGCCAGAAACCAGACAGCAATTTAAGACAGCGGCACCATCTCTGTGGCTGGAGCTTTCCAATCCTGGGATGACAGTCAGCGTTGTGAATATTTGCTGATGGCAGAATTGATTGCACCACCACAACCGTTATTTATAGGAAACGATAAGCTTTGGTTGTGCTGTGATGTCAATTTATTCAGTGAAAATTTGCATTTAATAATAATAATCCTTGCATTTGATCTAGCGCCTTGAAACTAGTCAATGAAAATTGCGCATTTGAAACTCGTGTGGTCGGTATATTTATCTTTCATGAGGATAGAGAGATGCAAACAACTAATAAGACTATAATGGAGATTAAATAGTGCAGCTGTTCAAAATAGATTTTGATTTAATTCATTTAGATTAAATAGACCTCTTGTTCAGAGAAGGATTGTTTGAATGGTACTAACAACAACAACGAGATTACATTTGTATAGCACCTTTCACGTAGGAAGGACGTCCCAAGGCGCTGGAGCCAATTATATATATTTTATATATATATGTATCAATAATATATAAATAAAATACAATACACATATATAGGTTGCCAAAGCTTTTTAATAGTTTGTATAATTTCTAAATGGAGACACCAGCAGTAATATAATAATAATAATAGTAATAATCCTTTCATTTGATATAGCATCTTCGAGACGTCTCAAAGCACTTCACATAATATTATAAACTGAATTGACTGTATATTTTGTGGGCGAATAATAGTAGTGTTTCTAATATTATCCTGTAGTAATATATTATTATTGTAAGACTTGCTGCCAAAGACTATATCCAAGAGTTTGTTTAATTAGAACAAATGAGCAATGCCACAATGTTCCATATTGCTGTTGGATAATAATTTACTCCCAGCAAATCTTGTTGAAAGGAAGAATCATATACATTGCACAGTATTGTGGTGCATGCATATTCTGTGCCAAGTTTCCAGAAAGGAAGATTAGCATTGAGATTACAGATACAATGGAATTACAGGATAGAAAGAGGCCATTTGGCCTATTGTCTCTGACTGGTGCTATCTGCCCCTTTCTCATTCCCTGCTCTTTCCCCATATCCGTTAATGTTACTTTTTGTCAAATATTTAGTCCGTTGGCATTTAAATGCTGTTATAGACTCATCTTCCACAGCATTTTATGGCAGTGCAATCCATATTCCAGCAACTCTGTATGAAAATCTCACCTTCTTGTGATGATCCTCAATTTATACTATTTTGGTCTTGGGGTGTTGAGAGGAAAGACTTTGCTGATCACGTGAAAGGCACTATAGAAATGCAAATTGTTGTTACATCTTCTCCATGACAATGACATCCTATTTATAATGAGGTTCCCAAAACTGGCACAGTACTGCAATGACAATTTAATCAATGGCTTATACAAATGTATTGTTGCCTTCTTGCTCTTGTATGTCCTAATGTATAAATTCTGAAGTGCACTTGGTTTGTTATGGTTTTGTCTACATTTACTTTCAACTTTGAAAGGTTTGTGTATCTGTACTCTGCTCTTCCACTAGATAATGAAAAAAGAATCAGCTGTTTAGCCCATGTTGATCACACCTTCGGACATCTTCCCAATGTGAAAGGTTGTACAGTTTTGTATTGATGGGTGATGGACCTATTTAAACTGTGAAACCACATTCATGTATCATAATGCCAATATTTTTTGATATAATTAATCAACGTTTAGAAACAGCCTTGGATTCTACTTTTGAATTTAGAATAATTACATGTATTAGAGCCTTTCACATTGGGAGAACATCTCAAAGCGCTTCACAGGATTTCCTGTAAATTATACGACTGCATTTTGTAGGCGAACAAATCTATGGCAAACTATACAACTATTAAATCTAAGTGGGACAATGTGTGTGTGTGTACATATATATATTGATCATTGTTCCACTTAGATATTATAGAAAGGATAATGAACTGCCCATCATCCCTGATAGTGTAGTGAATAAAGGTACTGATGGTGCAGCAATGGGTTATGCAGGCCATTTGGCTTGCAGCTTCAAATTGTGGTTGATCACATGAGTTAATAGTTTCTAACTGGAGTCCTAGAATTAATCTCTGGTTCGTCACTCTAGTAGCTGATTTATACCTGACACCTGAAGCATACAAACCTCATATGTGTTAGCCTGACTCAATGGTAGCACAAAAATCTCTGAGTCAGAAGCTTGTGGGTTCAAGCCCCAGGTCAGGACGTCAAATCATGCAGTCTAAACTGAAGCTCCAGTGCAATGCTTAGGGTATGTTATATTGTTGGAGGTGCTGTCCTTCGGATGAGATGTTACACCAAGATCCTGTTCAGGTGGATGTTATGATCCCATGGCACTAATCGAGAAGGGAATTTCTTCTGGCATTGTAGCCAACAATACCTCAATTTATTAAAAAAAAGTCATTCACTTCATGGCTGTTTGTGAGACATTGCTGTGAACAAATTGGCTGCCGTATTTGCCTACAAATGCACGTTTATTCCACAGTAAATCCTGTGAATCGCTTTGGGACATACTCCTGATGTAAAAGGCGCTATACTAAATGAAAGGATCATTGTTGTTACTATTATAGATGGTTAACTTCACTCTATTTGGGCTCTAACTCTAAAATTTTAAAACGTTAATATTTGGACGTTTCTGTCCAACCCAGCTTTCATCAGTGAACTCAATAACCAAGTGGTTTTCAATAGCTTTAACTCAGACCAAGTTTGCAACATTTAGGAGATTGAAATGAGTGTGTTGACTGGTCAGAGCCAAGCGCATAGGTGTTTGTCCTCACCTCCACAAGTTAAGTGTTTCCTGGCAGTGGACCCTTGTTCTGTTTTTCACTTAACATTAATTTACTTATAGTGCTTGAGTCTGGTTGCTCTTTGCGTTTCATCTCTTAGGTAGCCTGAACATTAAGGATCAGCATAACTTTCATACGTTCACTAAAATCGAGTGGTAATTTCTTTGCAGTCACTTAGGATCTCTGCTTGAGACTGACTGGCTAAAATAAATACAGTAGATGAAATCAAAGAAATGATTGGTCACAATGGAGTTTAATAAGAGCTTGTTTTTCTCAAGGTTCGTAATGTCATTTGCAAGTTCTGGGGAATAAGCATTGGTGAAATACTGCAAGTTTTCTTTCTGAAAAGGAAGAAGCTTTTTTTTAACCCATTCAGTCCTTTAGCAGGAACCTGTTCTATTTTTATTTATAAAATAATGCATCTGTTGTTGCATGCAGTATCTCAGAAAAAAAATGAGGCATTATGGTAATTATAAAGTACTATAACTATAACAGCACATCAGTTTGGGTACAGAAAACATTTCCTGTCAAGTTACATTACTTCCCAGTGATTTTTGGTAATGCATGCCTTGCTTTAACATGCTATTTGGCCAGTCCCCAAGTAGCACATTATACTGAGGGTTTGCCAATATTCAATAAGTTAAATAAGTACAGGGTTTCTTGGTGACCAGAAGATTAGCCAAACTGCTAATTTGGAAAGACTGATTTTCCTTTTGTGTGTGGTGTATCAATCTGACTTCACATTTCTGATCTAATTGGGTATTTCAGGAATGGAGGGTATGAATTTCCTTTTCGAATATTTCTGAAGGTATGTTACTATTAATTCTTTATAATGATTGGCATTAGTGTCTGCCATGCAGACTGCATTCTTCCCAAACTAAAAAGCGTCTTGACACAGCTCAGTGCAGTGTCTTCCCTCTTTCATGCAGTCACTCCAGCCATTTTACTGCATGATCACTTTGGATTTGTAGAATTCTAATAAGATGAGTGCTCTTACCAGATCCATATAATTTTAAAGATGTCTATGCCATAAAGACTTGGCAGTGAATTTTTAAGAAAGGGTTTTATTGTCCAATTTTATCGCCCTTCTCTCTTTTCACAAAGGTGTTGATTCTTGCTGGGGCACAGTAACTCGAGTGGCCTATTTTCATGTGCAAATCAAAGTGTGAGCAGATTTATTGCCTGTGGAGTGCATCACAGTCAGTCGATCATGCTTTCAGCTGAACACTCACAAGTGAGAGGTCACTGGACAGTCATCTGGAGCCCAGCCTGATGGTTTTCCCCACCCTGACCAGGTTGCTAAGGGCAGGGTAACCTAAATGTTGTCCTGGCTGAGATCAGCTGAGATAAGCTTTCTGAGGACAGACGGAAAATTGTATGCATCAGCTTGGCTCATTGGTTGCACTCTTGCCTCTGAGTCAGAAGATGTGGGTTCTAATCCCGTGTCGGAAGTTAAACTCACAGTCTAACCTGGCACTCCAATGCAGTGCTAGGAGGTGTGCTGTCTTTCAGATGAGATGCTAAACCGAGGTCCCGTCTGCCTGTTAAGCTGACCTTCAAGACAATCATGTTTGTGAGACATTTCTGTATGCAATTGTGCTGTTGCATTTGCCTACAAATAATAATCCTTGCATTTGATATAGCCCCTTATCATGTCTTTGAGACATCTCAAAGCACTTCACAGAATATACTGTAAAGTGAATTGACTATATTCTGTGGGTGAAACGCGGCAGTCAATTGCATACAGTAGTATCCCACAAACAATCATGGATTAAGTGACCAAATTATTGTTATTTTTTTGGAAGGGATTATTACCCCCAGAAAAGTGATCCGCCAATCGACTTAACAACCGGGTTCCTACTTACTGCTAGGTAAACTGAGGCATGTGGAGTAAGGAAACTTGTCCAACGTTTCACCCCGCCGGGCATCTAACCCAGGTCCTCTCGCTTGCGTACACAGTCACTCCATTTTACAATAAATCCTGTGAAATGCTTTGAGACATCCTTCCAACGTGATAAGGTGTTATACCAAATGCAAGGATTATTATTTTTATCATTAAAATTGAACCTGCTGGTCCATATGATGTAGTCCTGCCAAGTTACTACACCATATGGCAGTGTCTTTACCCACTGTGTTCATGGGAACTCAGCATGAAGTAGTTCTTCTTAAACTTCTTCCCATGTTATCTGACTAGGGCAGCGCAGATGATTTCTATGATGTACCTATAAACTGGACTATCGTGATTGATTAAGCTACTCCGCATGAAGGGTGCTTGCCTCCTTCAAATCCCGTCTGAAGACCTTCAACTTCAGCCACCCTCCTACCCCCACCCCCACTGCCCTCCTCCTTTCTGACCCCAACTCTCAGCTCGGGTCCAAAACCCCTGATTGTCCAGGGCCCTGACGTGAAGGGCGCCATACAAGTGTAATTTGTTGTTGTTGTTTGCTATATAAATGCAAGTTGTTGATTTTCCAGCCAAAGAGAGTAGCATAGATGTACGAGGTTAACTTTTTTCAAATTCTCAGATTTATTGGTAAATATTTATACGAAGGGTGCTTAAATTGAAATCTCTGTCAAGCTAACACTACTGCCTTATATAGCAGTTTAAAAGGACCTTGCTGTTTTGTTAGGCTACTCTGGTAATCATAAAAGGTAATGGCTCCAAATGGAACACTGTCCTCTATTAACTTTCAATGATGAGAAACATCTAAGATATTATGAATTGAAGCTAAAGTGTGTTGTCAGCAGCATTGGTGTGTACATAACAAAAGCCAAAGTGAAATTAAATTAATTCCTTTTTAGCCAAGTGTCTGACACATGCAGAACATGTATTATCTGTGAAACATTTTTAAGATTCGATTTTTAAATCTTTGACAGGTACTCGGGGTGAATTTTTTTGGAGGCAATCATGGATGCAGTCGTTCATCTTATAAACGATTCCCTGGAATTCTACCGATGGGGTCTCACTATCGCAGGTAATTATTAATACTCAGTTCAAAGTAACATTGTGTTTGCTGCTGGGACAACTCTTATTATGTTGGTTTGTTTACAGGGAAAAGTGACCCTTGTGTACAGATTATGTTGAGTTGAAAACTATTGTCTCTGTTGCATTAAGTGCTGAGCCACTATTGACTGGGTTTTCCTCTATGAATGTCTGAACCTAATTTAAAGGTACAAGAATATTGATATCCATTTCCTACTTTATATGGATATCATCAAATTGCGGAACAACTATACGGTCATCCAAACTTTCAAACTTGAACAAATACGTCATTTAAAGTTAGCCAGATGTACTGGATTGAACCGGGTCATTGTGCTTGAATGTATTTATCTGATGGGACAAGAATTACACCATACAAAAGAAACTGGTGGAGAAGGATGTGGATTGAATGGGATTAAGTTGGAATGGATGCACTGGAGTTACTGAAAGGACTTGCTCACTATCAGTGATTCCTGTAATAAATTGACACATATTTAACTAATATTTAAATATTTAACATATACTTAACTAATGGTGGTTGTGCAAAATTTGATTGTCTAGCCAAATTTTCTGCTTTCCTATTTTGAATGGATTGCGATAAAGAATTGCATCTCCTGCTTAGATTATAACAATTTGATCCGGTGGGGGTGAAAATCGAAACAATATTCATATAAAAAAAGAATACATACCACAACTATAACTTTGTTGTGTGCTTCACCTTCCTGTAAAGCTTAGTGTTTACAAATACTTCTCGCAAAATAATGGATTGTGGGTATTCATTAGGATAGTTAACAATCTTGAATTGCTTTGGGATCAATATATAAACAAGTTAATTTATTGCATGTGAATATTATTGGATCCATACTAAATCATACTACTTAAAATTTTAGATATTGCATTAATGCATTTGTTTCTCTTTTACCTTCCTTTAAAACAAAACTAGTCCTAGTCTTGTACTGTCTAGGATAAAATACAAAGGTAATCTGTTTAGAACAGTGCGTCAACAGATTATAATATAATAATCATAGCATTTGATATAATGTGTTATCACGTCATCAAGATGTCTCATACCACTTCACAGGACATACTGTAAAGTAGATTCACTGTATTTTGTGGATGATTGTTGATATTTGTTGTGCTCATGTATGTAGTTCAAGTTTTCATTTTATTTAGGAATAAAACCCAGGTAATATAAATAATAAGATGGAATAGTTTGCAATAACATTTCTATATTTTGGAAAAGCATGGAGGCTAACATGGAGGGGACAGTGATTAAAATGCAAAAAAAAAACACATTTTACCTTTGGTTGTTGGAGAACCTATTTTTAAAAGCAGACTTAACCTTTTCCTGTTAACGCTATGAATTATTTGTGTTTTCTTTTACTTTAGTGTTTGTCCTTGAGTTTAATTGTCTAGTAAATGTCTGGTTCTTAAGAAACCCCTCTATTTTGAACCATCTTAAGATGAGCTTTAAAATAGATCAGAGTGGATTGCTTTAAGCCTCAGTTGCTCTGAACAGTCTTGCAGTAGTTGAAGCGGTTTACAGGTTAAGCTGTAACTTCAGTAAGGTAACAAAATGTAGGTCATGCAGCGAGCTACTTGCCTGTCATTTAGGTCACCCATCAGATGATGTATTAAATATTTTATAGGTTAACCTGTGACCTGTAACTGATTGGCATTCTATTAACTTCTTTGTTTTGTTTCTATTGCGTAGAATCTTGCACCTACATTCATTTCATGTGTTCAGAATAAAAATCTGTTGCAGGGATATTCATTCTTCCCAACTTTGGCATTGTGGCACCCGTCTCTTGTATTTTTGGATATTAAAAAAATTAGCGCTGTTTTCAAGCAGAATACAGTGGATTCATTTAACTGACAACAACAACAAATTACATTTGCATAGAACCCTTCAAGTCGGGAGGAGGCCTCAAGGCGCTGGACAGTCAGGGATTTGGACCTGAGCAGGGGGTTGGGATCAGGAGGGGTGGATGGCAGGGAGGCGAGGGGTAGAAGATTGACTGAAGGCGCAGTCAGAGGAGCATCTTGAGACGTGCCTTGAAGGAGGCAAGGGAGGGAGTGTGTGTGTGTGTGTGTGTTGACTTGAGCTATTCATTTTTCACCAGGTCAGAAGGTTTGAGCTTTATGCTGTGACCCGCCACGAGGTGTGCTTCAGTGAGACACTAACCTGCGGTGCCACTGTGTTGCAACTTTATGGGCCTGGGAATGTCTATAGTGTGTAATACCATTTTTAATAAATATTTATTTTCTGTAAATTTTGAGGTGCATTGCTTAGTTCCACCATTAATTTGTTTTTGGTCAGCTGGGTCTCTGCTTAAGAGTATTCAAACCAGATTGAGAGTTCCACATATGTATGCTACCTATACATGGAAATTTCCATCTGTGTGGATGTATTTCACACACTTTCTCTATGGAGGGACACACTGGACTTGCCTAATTCTGGAGAATATTAAGTGTAGTTTGATGTGAGCCAAGGCCTGGGGATTCCAAGGTGTGCATTGAGGTATTGTTGGAGTTCGACCAACTAAACCTGTGTAGCTTCCCATTGAGAGAACTGTCTGCGAAGTTTCTCACGACTTGCCCACCCCACCTGCAAGAGATTTGGTTTGCAGGGTTAACAGTCCTTTTTTTAATTTTGCACAGCTTTAGTGAAATCAGACAGAAATATGCTTTTAATCATAAAACTGTGTAGACTTAGGATAAACAGAAGGTGATCCGTGCCTGATCGATATGGCTCATTAACACACCAAGTGGTAACACACTTAGCAATCTAATTATAACCCTAATAGTCCTTATATTTGATGTAGCGCCTTTCACTTCAGGAGGACTGCTCAAAGCACTTTGCGTGATTTATTGTGAAGTGTAGTGTGTGCGTTGACTTGAGGTATCGTGACTGTATTTTGTTGGCAAATGCAACAACCAACAACAATAATGTCCCATAAACAGCTATGAAGCGATTGTTTAATTTAATCTGGGGGATTGTTAGCCAGGATATTGGGAGAAACTCCCTTCTCTTTATGAATAGTGCCATGAGATCTCATAACTTCCATCTGAAACAGGCAGTCAGTTTACCATTTGTGGATGTGTCCCTCCAGGGAGAGAATGTGCATTTCTATTCCAACAATCTTTCTCTGGAATTTCCACGTACAGGTGGGATGCATCGAAATTTGGTTTGGATACTCTCACAGGCAGTCAGTTTACCAACTTCTGTGTGCAATTGGCTGCTGTGTTTTCGCCCACAAAGTACTCAGATATTCCACTTTACAGTATATTCTGTGATAAGGCACTATATCAAATGCAGGGATTATTATTTTATTATTATTTGATCTGAAGGATGGCACCTCGAGCAATGTAGCCCTCCCCAGCAGGATCTGGAAGGGAAGAGCAGTCACTGGGGGCGGGGAGCATCCCATTCAGCTCCTGTTAACCCTGCAAACCAAAGCCCTAATAATGGGTAGGGTAGTCCCAGCTGGACAACCAGCTGGACAAACAGCAGGAAAGCTTGCCACACAGCTTATCAATGGCAAGCTGTGCTGTTTCAGCTGCTTAGACTTCAGCAGTACCCCAACGTATTCTCTGGGGTCCCCAAGCCTTGGCTCTTGCCAACCTGCGCCTAATAATTTCGGGAAGTAGGTAAGCCGGATGTGTCCCTCCAGCAAAAGAGTGAGCATTCCATTCCAACAATATATCTCTGAGATTTCCATATGTAGGTGGGATGCATGGAATTCTTAGTTTGGTCTGGGTACTCTTATCCAGTGGTGGGTGATGGGTTTCACATTTGTCAGTTGATATAATTTTTTTTTAGCTTTTTGATTCAGTAATGAGAGTACCACCAACTGAATTAAAATCTAAATCTAGATGCATCTTTGACTTTAAAAACTAGGTTCTTCCTTCTCTTTAACCCCAATGGAGGTGCATGTGAATCTTATTCAGTGCCTTTCATGCATTAGAATCAAAATTGGGAGCTCAGTCCTGCTTCAAAGCATAAAGCAAAAAATCAAGGATTGTACCTCTCAAGAAATATGTTTCAGAGGGCCAAAATACCTAAAGAACTTGGGTTTAAGACCAAATGTCTTAAAATAATAATAATAATCCTTGCATTTGATAAAGCGCTTTTCACGGTTTCTAGACATCTCAAAGCGCTTCACAGAATAGACTGTAAAGTGAAATGACTGTATATTTGTGGGAGAAATGTGGCAGTCAATTGCGCACAGCAGTATCCCACAAACAGCCATGGATTGAAATGACCAATTTATTATTGTTTTTTTTGAGGATTATTATCAGGCGTGTGGAGAAAGGAAACTTGCCCAAGGTTTCACCCTGCCGGGAATCGAACCCAGGTCTCTCGCTTGCAAAGAGAGTGCTCTAACCACTGAGTTACAGGACTCCACTGTAGACTCCAAAATGTCAGTTTATGAGCAATTTTGGAAAACATTCTTAATTTGAAAACTTTTTTTTCTCGGTTCCCAAAAAGAGGCACAGTAATCTCACTCAGTGTAAGATGACAATCCAGTGCATTGCTGGTGGTGCCAATTTTTGGATGAGATGTTAAGCTGATGTCCTGTGCGCCTGTTCAGGTGGATGTTAAAAATCTAAGAGAAGGGAGTTTCTTCCAGGGTCCTGGCCAACAATCTCCCCAAATAATAATTGGTCATTTGTTTCAAAACTGTTTGTGGGACATTGCTGTGCGCAATTGAGCTGTCGTATTTGCCTACAAATACAGTCACTCTGTCCCTTGAGACATTTTTCTGACATGATAAGACACTATACCAAATGCAATGCAGTCTATAGCTTTCTCCAGTCCTCACCTTTTAAATTAGCATATCATGGTGCGAGTCACGAAAGAGTTAAATGCACTCTCTGTATGAACATTGGCTGCCACACTAGACTCTAGTTCCTCTACTTCTTGGTCTTCTAACTTGATAAAACTCTTGCCTTCATTTCCATGTCTTCACCCTCTCTGATTTCTGAAATTTCCTTGTACTTCCCCAACCCTCCCTTATTTACCTAATCAAATCTCTTTGATCTCCTCCATTAGCCGCTGCCTCTCATATTTTATCCTGATGCTGCCCTGTCTATCTCCATCCTGGATAACTTCATGGCTTCCCTGCCCTCCGAACTGGCCAACATCTGCTCTCAGCACACCCCAATGGTTCTCTAAGAGCAACACTGTTGAGCGAATTACAGTGTCGGACTGGGAGAGCCATGATGCTCAGCAAGGTTGAAGAGCAGATGAAAAGTAGTGCTGTGCTAAGCACATTGCAGTACTGCACATTGAGTCAGATGAAGGTTATTTAGGTCGAGATGGGATCTGGGCTGACTGGAACATTACTTTTGTCCCAAAGTGCTGAGATGCTCGGGCTGCGCAAGTTATTTGTTGGGTGTCAACTTTGAATGTAGAATACTTCGATAGATTTCCTGTGATTACTAATCATTTGTATTTGGACAATTCAATGCTGTTTGATCTGCAGTGTGTTTTCAGCATTTTCTGTTACATTTCAAAATTTCCAGCATTTGCAGTGTTTCTTCCTCCTGGTAAAGGCTGGAGAAGACTGCTCAGGAGACATGAAAACTATTAACACACGGTGTGCAGCTTTGTTTAATGCTAGTTACCACACAATGCAAACATTCTCAGTGTATAGGGAAATTAGATGATGAAAAATTAAATAGTCTTTGTGGAATGCTGCAGTGTATTGGTGGGAGCATTCACCTCGCAAGTGAGAGGATCTGGGTTTGATTCTGGGCAGGGCAAAAAGTTAGGCAAGTTTCCTTACTCCATATCCCTCTGTTTACCTAGCAGTAATTAGGAACTTGGTTGTTAATCGATAGGTGGATTGCTTTTTCAGGGATAATAATTCCTTCAAAATAAATAAATTGGTTACTCAATCCACGACAGCTTGTGGGACACTACTGGGCGCAATTGGCTGTTGCGTTTTGCCCACAAAATATACAATCAATTCATTTCACAGTATATTCTGTGAAGAAGTGATAATGTGCTATGTCAAATGCAAGGATTATTATTTGATCTAATGTTTTTCACATCAGGGGACGTCTCAAAGAGCTTTTCAAGATTTTACTGTAAGTGACCTTGGCGACCATTTTGTAAGCAAACCGATGAACTTTCAACATTGTTTACCACACTATCTCTGTCAAGTGCTTCAAGGGGTAATCTTACATTAAAGTGACTATAGAAATGCAAGTTGTTGTTGTAATGACAATTTGTATGTTTGGTGGATCTCAAAAATTATGGCTTTGCCCAAGTGAATATCGACCTTGCTGCCTCTATGGAGAACTGCTGCCCTTCCACATCCAATCACAGTGCTTTGTGAATTTCACAGCACTTATTATAAAAATTGCATACCTGAACTTGATTACGAGGCTGTAATCTAATCTGAAGATTCAAATGATGGGTACATAAACTCCCATCCCTTTGTTTTTTTAATGTTTCCTGATCCTCCTTCTCCCTCCCAGTGAAATTATTGCCTTGTAATTACTCTGTTATCTGTTAGTCTCTTATGTAGGGAAGTTAACGAGAATTGCTGCCAACTCAAATCTTATTAACTCCTTGTGTGCAAAACTAGCTGTATGTAAAAAGGCACAGGATAAAGACCAAATGTATTGAAAGTTGTACTGTGAGACAGGTAACTTTTCTTTTTCTTAAATGAATACCGTTAACCCATTCACCGATTCCGGTTTATTTTAATAGACAAACGGGTGGAAAAGTGGACGTTGATGCAGTCTCCTCTGCCTACATTGGCAGTGAGCAGTCTGTACCTCCTTTTTGTATGGCTGGGTCCCAGATGGATGAAGAACAGGGAGCCATTTCAGCTACGTTCACTGCTTATTTTCTACAACTTTGGAATGGTTATACTAAATTTTTACATCTTTAAAGAGGTTAGTCTGTCTCGATTATATTCTTGCTTAAAGTATTTTCCTGAATGTCATCCAAAGTCTCAACTTCAGTGTCCTTGGGATAGGGAAGGAAAAAGACAGGATTTCCCTCTCATGATCACTATGCAATGACTCTTGATCACTATTTAATGACACTGTTGGGTGGCGTACTTGTGTCAGGTGAGGCCCAGATCGGTTTTGATCCCCCCCCTCCCCCCAGGTCAAATCAAATGCCCCGCAAAATGGGTATTTGGGTTGAGACATAGGGGGAAGTGGGGTGGTTTGCTGCTGGTGTTTGTGGACCTATGGCTCAGCAGGAGTTGGTGTTTTTTTTCAGGCAAGGAAAAAAATATTCAAAAAGTTTAAATTGTACTTGTAGAGACTTCAGATTGTAAGAATACTAACAACTGTATGATGCAGGCGAATGACCTGCTAAATAGTGTGCTTTCTGTGTTGCTAAATAACACTACAGGCACCGTATACTGATACCTGGAAAGTACTTAGCCCATGTGTGCAAATCAGCGTTTTTTTAAAAAAAAGTTAGGGGAGAAAAATGAAATGCGTACATTAAAAATAATCTGCAAGAGAGAAATAGTAATATTTTGGGTGTGGGATTCATTGGATCCTTCATACCTAGAGCATTTAATTGTCTCTAGAAGCAGATAAATTGCTGGAAACTGTATTGTATTTAATTCAGATTGCTAGCATTCAGTTTTTCATTTTTCCAAGACCAAAGAAGCACAAGTGGTTTAAACATTTTGATCTTGCAGACTATGGAAAGAAGGGTCTCATGAAATGTCTGACTATTTTTGCAGTTTCAATGTCCAAATAGCTCTATTCTACCAATTAATAATTTCCCTAATGTATCACTTATCTATGTGTCTTCCTAGCAGCCACCATCCAGTTTGCAATGTGTGGAAACCTTTTTTTCAAAAAAAAGTGATTTTGATTGACTTGTCTGTTTGAAAGCTAAGGATCAATTAGGGCAGTAGATTCAATCAACCTTCTTCATGCAATATATGCATCTAAAGGAGGCATTGGATGGAGGATCTATGATCAAACACACTTGTCAGGGGACCCCCAGGAGTACCCAGACAAGTAGAACTGTTCTGCATCCTTTTTGCCTCGTCCAAGGGAATTTTTTCCTGGTGCTTTGGGGAAAAAGTGGATATGGGAAAGTGTTGAAATATTATGTCATACACCTTCAAAAATTGAGAACATTTTTGTGTAATTCAAGGTACTAAGCAAATGACAGTACAAGAAATACAATTATAATAATCCTTGTATTTAGATTATAGTGCCAGAACACATCATTAAAACGTCTCAAAGCACTTCACAAGATTCACAGTGCACCAGCCATTGACTGTTCCACATATGTATGGAAATGTTGGAAGGAACAACCCAATTGGTAACTTTGCAATTCTTCAGCAATAGTAAATTGGACTTGGCAGAAAACCGTCTGCTAATAGCTTATGTAATATTTTATTCCTTGCAGTTGGCACACATCTCCAGCCACAGTGCTTCAATACACATGAGTGCTGTAAGGCAAACTTATGATATGTAATGAGAGCAGTTATACTTCTAATTTACTGAAGTTACCTGTATGTTTTGGTAGTCAACACCAAAGCAGAGACTTTCATTCCTAAGATCTTAATTTAAACAGTGATGGGCTTTGTGGAAAAAAGAATTCCTATCAAGTGAATGAATGTGCCGAGACTGTTTTTTAAAAAAGGTATATCAGGATGGATAATTACTGCCTATTCCAGATAGTCCATCATATCCCCATGTGTAATTTTCTGTGTTCTATTGAAATGCAAAATGCTGTGTGTAGCTTTACCTTCCTCTAAAATGGAAGTCTCAAAATAGCTGGTTGATGTGCCCTTACCTTGCATTCAAACCAGCTGAGAATGACCAGATTGAACTATTGTGTCAACAGAACCCAATTATGTGTAATCCATCAACCCAATTAACTTCCATGAATGGGATATTCATGCTTCCACATGCCAAATTGTCTGGATCCATTACCTACCCACCTGAAAGCAAGGTTGTGCTATATTAAAAGGTGTTATAATGGGGTTCACTTATTTTTAAAGATCATCTTGGTCTAATGAGAAGAACTGAAGCAGATTTGCAATTAAGTTAACAGAGCCAATCTACCCAGTAAATGATTTTTGTTTAAAAACCTTCATAGAACTAATGCTTCTTAGCAGATTGGCCAGTGCAAAATCCTGATCTTGTGTTTGGTCAAAACGGCTGGTACCTCTTAGATGCCTTTAATCCTAAAGGAACTAATCTGACCTGGGTTGAACAGGGACTCGTACCTATTGCACTATGTTTGGCACATGCCTGGTGATTATAATGAAGCTTGATGCATACATTTCCCTCGCTTCTACCCCCTTCAGTTGTTCTGGATGAACTGGTAAACTGCTATCAACATGTATTCTAGATATTCAGATTATTTTATACATTTGCTGTTGTTCCTTAAAGCAATTGGCAAATGATCAATTTACTAAAATATTATGGATTGGACTAATTTCTGACTAATCCAGTGCCTTGACAGATGGCCTAACAGTTACAATAAGAGATAGCATTGCTTTCTGCAGCAGGGTTGTTGGAAGGTGGCAAGCACTACCACTGCACATTTATACCCAGTATAAATTCTGCAATCTTCACTGCACTTTGAGCAAATCGAGGTTTTAGTGAAATCACTAATAAGTGCTGTGTTATGAAATCTGACTGGTGGGTGGGACTATTCTCAAGTCATTATAGCAAATTTTGAAAATATACAACTTTTATCTTCACTAAAGTAACTGGTCAAAGTAACTAAAGTAACTCCTCCACTGCCCTCTCCCCCCCAAAAAAATTATAATAATCCTCTTGCTGGTCCTGGATAGTACCTTTCACACAAAATTAAAAAAATAGGTTCTGGATCTCTTCATTAATTTTTGCCTTCTGCTTACTCTGATTTCTTAATTACAGCTTTTCTTCGCTTCAAGAGCTGCAGGTTACAGTTATGTATGCCAGACTGTCAACTATACAGAGGATGTGAATGAAGTCAGGGTATGTACTTACAGAAACTGGATTTCCTAAGAGCTAATTTTGGCAAAGGTGACATTGAACCATCAACAGGCAAAATACCGTAGATACTGGAAATCTGAAATAAAAACAGAAGTCACTGGGAACACGCAGGAGGTCAGACAGCATCAATGGAGAGAGGAAAATTAGTTAACGTTTCAGGTCGATAACCTTTCATCAGAACTGGGGGATGTTGGAAGGGAGCAGATTGTAAGGACAAGCAGAGAAGGGGGTGGGAAAGAAAGACAGCAAAAATTTAGGTGGGGGACAGAAGATGATGAGATCAGAGGTGTTGATGGTGCAAGACAAAAGAAGGCAATAGTGGGAGATTATAGAAAGAAAAGATGGCAAGACTGAAAGAAATTGAGAGCCGAGTATAAGATCTGAACCATCATTTGGTTAACATTTATCTATCAATCTAGATGTAAGGTTGTTGATGTAGTATGCTGTATGTGATGGAGTGGTATAGGGGAAGCTAGGAAGGGGCCTCCAAAATAGCTAACCAAATCTCCACAATGTCTTATCTGTAGTTCTGTCACTCCTTCTTGTCAGTTCGATCACACGTAACAGCACCACTTAGTTGTGATCAACTGGTTGGAGACCCCTGATGTACAGTGTCACCAGGATGGGTGAAGGCGCTTGTGGAGTATTAACACTGGCACAGACCCTCTAACCCTGGCCAGGCAGGGGCCAATTTATCCTCTCCAACAAGTTCTGGATGAGACCAGTAAATTCCGTACAGACTGAGATTTGAACCACAAGCTCCTGGTTCGTAAGCTGCATCTCTATCCACTAAACTATTAGAATTGTCTCGCCCTATTATTAACAATTCATTCAGTTCTGAATTCAAAAGAATTAATCAACACAGCATCAACTGCTTTTATTGCAAGTCTGTTCCTTATCCACAACTCTTAAGGAAACATTAATTTTGTACCTGTACTTTCCAATTTAGCTCTCTGAAGTTAAAGTTCTTTAGGTGTCTAAACTTCTAAAGACCGGGAACTTGGTGGTTCAAATCTCAGTCCATGCTGAGCCTGTTTATGTCCAGATTATCTTAACATTTTAGTAACCTGTATTTGGTCCCTTGAATATTCCAATTGTGGCATTAACCTGAATATTAAGAATAACTAATTTTGACTTTAAATGAAAAACCATTGAGATGCATCCCAATACTTGACTAGGTTTGTTCGTGGCGGATTCACATTTTGTTCTCTCACAGATAGCGTCAGCCTTGTGGTGGTACTATGTCTCAAAGGGAGTTGAGTATATGGACACAGTGTTTTTCATCTTGAGGAAGAAATTTAACCAGGTCAGCTTCCTGCATGTGTATCATCATTTCACGATGTTTACCCTGTGGTGGATTGGAATCAAATGGGTCGCAGGAGGTCAATGTGAGTACCAAATGAGAAATGCCCTGAGCCCCCAAACTCCACTTGGTCTTAGTCTTAACAAGATTATTTCAAAAATGCAGATTGTGCAGGATTTTGGAAAAGTTCTTAAATATTAAGATGTTTTTCTTATGGCTATGGCTAATAGCATCAAGAAGTTTGAGCCTCTGGTTTTCAACCTTTTTTTAAAAAATCAGACTTCAGAAAAATACTCATACACCTGTTATAAAGCATTCAGCAGGTATTTGTTTTAAAGTTGCACTATGGATCCCATTCACTAAGGACACAAACAGCCGACCCACTCACTTCCTGTGTACTTTGCAGCTGACTTTCTGGTCATTATGATACCGTCAACATCACTTAATGTTTTGTTACGGTTGGAAAGTCAGTGATTTGAGCTTCCCAATAAAAAGTGTCCAACTTCCAGGTCATCATGTCACTTCCTCCTTTGTGCCTGAGCAGCAAAAACAAACCTGGCTTAGATGTCTTGGGTATTGTTATCTTGGTTTCCCTTGGTGGGAATAATGGCCTTTCTAAGCTGCTTCAGGGGATACTGGCCTACCTCACATGAGTTGGAGCAGAATCTATCCCATGAATAAGACTGATAAGGCCATTTCCTTGCTTCGAAACAATGTCAAAGACTTGTCTAAAATCCTCAAGATCCTAATATCCCAGAGACCAGTGGGTGAAATTTAGTGCAAATTCTTAACAGGATGAACTATTATCCACAGTTGGTCACATTAATGTGTACAGGATCAGTACATCTGCAGAAAATAATAAAACACATGATCTTGTTCTACATTTATTCACCCACAAAAACGCACAGTCATTCCATTTCACAGTATATCCTGTGAGGTGCTTTGAGACGTCCTCCTGACGTGAAAGGCACGATACCAAGATAAGAATTATTATTATTACACATTTCACAATTCAATAGGTGTTTGATTGTGTGATAAAAATGTGGTATATTTCTCTAACAAACGTGACTGTTTCATTTCCTATTTCAGCTTTCTTTGGTGCCCATATGAACTCTATTATCCATGTTGTTATGTACCTGTACTATGCGCTAGCAGCTTGTGGACCACAAATTCAGAAATACCTGTGGTGGAAACGATATTTAACCATCTTACAACTGGTAAATAGAAACTTTGATATGCTATACACCAGTCTTCATAATGTAAACCCCGCGTTTGAATAGTTGACAGGTTTTTTTTGGTCAGGGAAGTTTTCTGACACAGAAAAGGCTGAAACCCATCACCACGCTTAAGGGGATCCAAACTAAACTGAGAATTCCATGTTTGTATGCCTCCTACATGTGAACATAACATTTATAATAATAATTATAATAATATAATTTGCATGTCTAGAATTTAATTTAGAATCCCCCAGAGGATCGAATTCAAGATCCTCATCCTCGCCTACAAGGCCATTCACGGCCTTGCTCCTTCCTACCTCTCCGACCTACTATCGCCCACCTACCTGCCTGTACCCTCCGTTCCTCTGGCTCCGGTCTGCTCCACATCCCCCGCCCCAACCGCCCTACCATCGGTGGCTGGGCCTTCAGCCTCTCAGACCCTAGGCTCTGGAACTCTATCCCCCAGTGCCTTCGCCGCCTCCTCCCTTTCCTCCTTCAAGGCCGGTCTCAAGACCTTTCTCTTCGACCGTGCCTTCAGCTCCCCTCTCGACTCTCTACCCCCTCCTCACTCCCTCCCTTCCCTCCCCCTGACCATTTCCCCCCTGCTCGGGTCCTGACCCAACTGTCCAGCGCCTTGGGACGTACTCCCGACGTGAAAGGCGCTCTATAAATGGAATCTTGTTGTTGTTAATACGCACTTTCTCCCCAGAGGATGCGTGGGTGATAGTTCTCCGAGTTCTTAAATTCCACCTAGTTTTAGCCTACAAGACAATTTGTCCTAAAACTTCAATCAGTATTGCATACAATGATAGTGCTCCCTTCGCTCAGTGAACATCAGCCCATTTCATGTCCCCTACCACCATTGGTGGGTTTACTTTGAGCCATTCTGCCGCCACTCTCTGGAATTCCATCCCAGAGTCCCTCCAACGCACTCTGTCCCCCTCCCAATGTTCAAAGGCAGCCTCAAGTTTTACCTCTTTGACTAGGCTTTCAGTCTTTCCCTTCCCACCCTTTTCAGCTCCCTTCCCACCAACCAGCAATGTGAATATATGGTGCCTTCACTGTCTTGAAATATATGCAACTGTAAGGATTACTATTCATTCTTGAATGCTATGGTAAATCATCTTTAACTACAGTCTTCAATAAAATTTAAACTGATTATTAAAACATTTAAAAACAATATAGTAACAAAGTTTATTAAACAATTAGAAACCAGAAATCTTGATGCAAACAAAAGGGAGAAGGGAATAGCGGGGTATAGAAGATAAGGAGGGATGGAGGCTCAGATGGAATATAAATACCGTCATGGACTACTTATAATAATCTTTGTATTTGATTAGGCCAAATGACCTGTTTCTGTAATATAGTAACTGTGTACTATGTAATTATGCCTCAAAAGTAAACACCAAAGCAGCCCTTTCTAACAGTGCTCTAGAGAGTTTAGAGTGGGTATGTTTAGTATTATTGTCTACCTTTGTTACAAACATTCTTGTGTTTAACCCAGGTCCAGTTTCATGTCACCATCGGCCACACTGCTTACTCCCTGTACATTGACTGTCCATTCCCGAAATGGATGCACTGGGCGCTGATAGCTTATGCCATTTCCTTCATCGTCCTCTTTGCCAACTTCTACTACCAGACCTACAGAGAGCCGAAGACAGAATCGACCAAGAATGGAAAACTAGCTGCCAATGGCAACACAATGGCTAATGGAATAATCAAAACCGAAAGCAAGCTCATGGTAGAAAACGGAAAGAAAAAGAAAAAGGGAAAAGCGAAGCGCGAATAATGTGTATAGGCAAGCTTTAAAGTGAAACCCTTGTGTGTTAGTGTTAAAAAGTCAATAACAGATGGCTGCATGTATTTTCAGCTGGCTTTGAACTAATTTATTTTACCTTTTGCCACCTTTGTAATTTATGATATTGACTTGGTGAATGGACTGTGCTATCATTATGATCCATATATCGGTGTCAACAGGAAGTTGCAAAAGCTTAGCTTGGAAAGAATTTGCTTCCCTTTTACAGATCATTGATTTCAATTTAAATGTTAATGCCTAAGCTTAGGTTTGTTTACATTACAGTGGATGCTTGCTATAATGCTATTCTCTTTAACATTACCTCAGTTATAATGCTGCTCTGTTTTTGGCTCCGTTTTCTCCTGTCCATGACCCAAGCACTACTGTTGCTCTATCCTAGATTTTTCAATTTAGAAATCTAAGCATCAAAAGACCACAAGAGAAGTATTGATAACGAAGACCCTTCAGGCTACTTATCCTTATCCTTTCAGAATACCAACCGTATTGTCTTCCCATTACGGCACTAAGCTATTTCTCAAACGAGACCAGTGTCCTGGCCTTAACCAAACCTGTTCTATATGTAAATCGCCCTTTATGTGACAAAATACATTTTAGTGCGTGTCCTATAATTGACCTTCAAAATTCTGGACCTGTGCCTCCTCGCCCTGCTGCTTGGTATAACTTAATTAATATTTTGGGAGTTTTTCAATCTGGTTCAGCATCCGATTACTCTAAGATGTTTCTTAAACTAAAGAGCTCTAATTTATCTAATCACTGCTTGTAGCTCTTATAGCTCCGAACATCCCCCTGACCCTGGGCACTCAGCTTTGTTGTTATCTTCTGCATTACCTCTAGGCAGACCCTTACCACACAAAAAACACAACTAAATGGAGTAGTTAGTGCTGCAAAACCAACGTTGAGTCTTTAATGGGAACTGGTTTGCAATATTTTTAATGGGATCCCTTGAAATTGGCACGACATCACACTATCTAACAGAACCTATTCTGTCTACTTCTGGACAGGTTGATAGGAATTCTTACAAATCATGTTAAGGAATATCATAAATTAGACCCCTGTGTGGCTTGTACAGTCATTTCAATTTCTTTAGTTAGACAAAAGGGTAGTTTTAAAATAAATCCAGGTAACACATATTCAGGAGGCAGCAAAAATTAAAAGGATAAAATAAATAGTTCTGTGACCAGATGAACTAATATATAGGCAATGGTGCCTATTTACAGAGCTCATTGAAACAGCTGGACAATGTGGCCCATGTCTCCTTGCCTACAGTGCCCGGTCACTACTCAGATATTTATGAAAGTCACAATTCTGGCGTTTAGCATTTCAGTTTATTTTTTAATACAATAATAAACCTATCAGCATACTTGAAATGCTATGCCATTAGTCTTGATATTGTTAGTGACTCACATCATTGCAACTTATCCCTTTATCATAAACTATTTTTGAAGTCCAGAAAGTGATGAGGTGCTTATGAAGCAACTTGGTGTTCATTACTTCTGATATGTGGCCTTATACCAAAATAGTAATATGTATTAACATTACTTACTGACATTTAAAAGCATAAAGGGGAGAGGTTGGAAGGAATTTTCTTGGCGCCCAAAGGGTTAGGAGGAAATTAAATAGATTAATATAAGTGTCTATTGAAGCGTAGTCAATTATGACATATGAGGAAATTTGATGATCACTTGAGCAATAAGACTATAGAGGAATATGGAGAAGGTGCAATTCAAAGGGAGAATGGGGAAAAAATCTAGCACAGCACAAGCATGATGGGCCTAATGGCCTCCTGTGTTAATATTTCTAGGATTAAAATTTTCAACTCAAAATTTAATTGATCCTAAATGTGATGTGTATTTTGTTTTGTTTTCCTTGTCCCCAAATTTTCTTTCCTGAGTTAGTGATATTGGCCTTCTATAATAATAATAATAATAATAATCCTTGCATTTGATATAGCGCTTTTCACGTCTTCTAGACGTCCCAAAGCGCTTCTAGTATCTTGGCCAAGTACGATTTCTTCTCATGTGGGTCTAGACGGTTTAGTTGATGAACTGCTTGACCTTGAAGATGTATTGTAATCTGAAGTAGGATCCCTGGCTGATTGAAACCAATTATGGTACCTTGTACAGACAAGGATTTGAATCTGGGTTCCTTGCTAGTTCATATGACTGAGTATCATACCACTGGGTGTATTTATGCTCCCAGCCATTGGAGAGTCATGGAATGCAGCTTTTAAGCTGGAATTCATCACAGTCATATAATAATTTGCAGCTGAATGTTGATGAGACGGGTGCCATACTCCTTGGGTCCTGTCAGTATCTTCTCTCCTGCAGCTCTGACTTCAATCTCCCCGGCCTATCCCTCATACTCACTGAACCAGTACACAACCTAGGCATCAGATTCGACCCTCAGTTGTCCTTCCTACCCCACATCCGTTTCCTGATCAGGAACCCCTTCCTCCACCTCTGTCACATTGCCCGTCTCCGACTGTACCTTACTCCAAATGCCACTGAAACCCTTGTTCATCTGTTCTTCACCTCTCCACTCGACTGTTCCAATGCCATCCTCCCTGTTCTCTCCAGATCCACTATCCACAAACTCCAGGTAATCCAAAACTCTGTCGCCTGCATACTCACCTGCACTAAACTCTGGCTCCAACATACCGGTTATTGCCAGACTCTATTGGCTCCCTATCACTGAACGGATCGATTTCAAGATCCTCACACTCGTCTTCAAATCCCTTCATGTCCTGGCACCAGCCTACCTCTCCTACCTGCCACTACCCATTGCCACTGCTCGACTGGCTCTAGTGGCCTGCTTGTCCCTCAAGCCTCTGTTCCACCATTGCCGGCTGTGCTTTAAGCCACTACATCTCAAATCTCTGGAATACTCTACCTCAATCCTCCATATTCAGATCGCACCTTTGACCTTACGGTCACCTGCCCCATTCATCCAGCTCCGCTACTGTCAAGCTCTCAGAAACGCTAACCTGTGTGAGGGCCGTTATATAAATGCAAGTTGTTGTCGTAATTTATAAAAATTAACAAACTAATTAATGTCTCGACTACATTGTAATTTCTGAGAGCTTGGGTTCATCAGTTGTATGTTGGTACGTGGCTGCTGCTTTAAATAAGGGAATCCCATTTCAACATAAGGTATTTTTTCCAAAATCCAGGGAAATGAAGGAATAATGTGTGCCATTTTATGGCTATGACCAAGAAAATTGTTAAAATGTGTTCTGTTGATGTGTGCAGTTGACTGTACATTTTGCCAACGCTATTTCATGCCGAGCATGTTTTTTTCAGCAGAATATCAGAATTCTTTCAAATGACACTATAAATAATTTTAAGCAACAAAGGTACACGTTTTTATGTTCGGCAAAGTAGAACCTTTATTTCTGAGCCTTGATTTAGATAGAACTATGCATTGTCTGGGCGAGCAGTTGAATGCTTTAGGGCACATACTGCACACATGGTATTAATTGGCCAATTGGCTAACTGTACAGTAGCACATAGCAAGCATCCATTGTATTCTTAAGTTAATTGTGTAAGAAAAAGTAATGTAAGTTTCAAAGCTGTGCAAAGGAGTAATACTGTGTTCCAAGGATAAAAGGATGGCATTTTAAGATGTTCACCAAGATTTCTATCTGACCAGAAGTTAACTAGTTTCAAGTTTCATTGCTGAAATGCTAATTATAATAATAACATATTTGAGAAGCAAAACTACCCTCCTGAAATATTTCCCAGTGATCAACTTATAAATGAGAATTATTAGTGAGTGACTGGCATTGCTGCCTTTTAAGCAATCAGTTGAGTCTGTTTGATTCTGTGCTGTTAGCCGGTGAGGGGAAATGTGGCATTTTGTATACATTTTATCCACTGTTTCAGACTCGCCTCTTTAGCTGCTCAGTATTTGCAGTGATGTAACTTGCAAGGAACAGCATATCAAAACCTGGCATTGCTCTATTTAGTTTAACGGTTGGCTACTTTGATCAGCTTGGAAGCCAATCTGGAACAACTACCTCTGGGAGAGCACACTCCCAGCAAGTATGCAGTAATACTCATCTGGTACAATCAAGTAGTCTGCCAACACTCACTCAAATAATAGATTCACACAGAAACAATGGCCTCATTGGTGAGATACCTTGAGGATTACCATTTCTCATTAGGAGTCAGTGGCTTCAGGAAAAGAATATTGAGACAAAGAAAATGTATCTGGTGAACAGAGCAAGCTAAGGGTATATAGATTATAAAGAACATCTTAAAATTTATTTGGAAGCATTTTAGTTTTAGAAATGTTACCTAACAGTCGTAAGCTTTCCAATATTGTGTGTATAACAGATAATGTATCTGAAACATATCTATATCTGTATTGCCAGTATTACATTTCAAGCGAACCAGTAGATAACACCCACTGTTCCTTTATTCAATTGAGCAGCTTTATAAATGTGTTATGAGCAAGGAATATCTTTCTGACTCTGAAAACACACATTGCTTGTGCAAACAGTTGATGTGCCATTCATTTTACCAGTGTTTGGCTGCTTTGTTTTTTTTCCTTGAAGGCTGGAAATGTGTTGAAAGATCATGATTGCAAAATTTCACCCTAGGTTTGTTAAAAAAGGGTGTTGTTTCTTTAATTCAAGCTGCTCTTTATTTAGCCAAGGCCTAGGTAAGCCAGAATAGCATCCTGCCTGTTTAATTTTATTGCTGATTAAGCTCATGACGTTCTAACTGACATCAGGCTGTCGCTTAATGTTTATCTTATCTCCTGCCTTACTATTAATTGCTTTACGACTTTTGTATTTGGAACAAATTGAAAAGGCACGGCGTGGACTAAAGTGTTTCAATTATATTTCCAGAGGCAAAGCTAGATTGGTGCAGAAAGTTTTTTCTTCAATTCTTATCATTTCAGATATAAACTGTTTTGATAGTTTGTTGAGCTCAGCATACAGGACCTTTTTGTAATGAAACAGACATCTACATTCAGTACATCCCTTTTGTTTTTGCTTTTTAAGTAGTTTGAAGACTATACAGGAAACACAAGGCCCTAAATCCACTATCAAATAATTAACTATTTCTGTGGATTAAATGCAGGTACAAAAGCCTCCTTGGCACATCAAGCTGGTTAATTTGATGGCTCACTTTAGTGAGCATTTTTTGATCCTCTAATACAAATATCAAATATAAGGATTATCTTGCTTGGAAAATATTTTGATGTATATTTGTGGCAGGGCCTTCACAGGTAGGAGCGAAGGTTGACCCAATTAATTTTTGCAAGCACTGACAGGAACATTTCAAACACTCACTTGAAAGAGATTTCTGCAGGCCGTTCTGTTTCCTTTTGCTAAAATAATCTAAGAATAACCTGAACAGTTGCTGAAGCTTGAATGTTACAAAAAATTAACTTTACGGGTCATGTGATCAGGTCATTTAATCTTGTTCCAAAAAAGGTACAAACCTGTTGCTCTTGCTTGTAGAGGTGATGCACAACAATGTAAATAAGTGTCCGCTGCTTTTCTTTCAGTTTTATCATAATGATGCTTCATTTTTCTTAAAAAGAAACTTGATACATTAGAGGCCAGTTTTACAGATCCAGAAATCAGTTTATTGATTGATGTTAGCTCAGTTGGTTGAGTTTTGGATTTGGGACCAGAAAGTTCTGGGTTCTGATCCTCAGCCCTAAATCTTTTTGAGATTGATTTAAAATGTAATATATCTTCAAAAAAGAATGGAGGGGGGAGGGGGGGCCTGGGTAGAGTAAAGGTAAATGGATTCTCTCTATAGCTGAACTAGCTCCAAAAAAGATACGTTTGCCAAAAAACAGACAGGTTTTATAATCCAAGACACTGTTGATGTTTTCAGTTATGCTGTCTCATCACTGAGACTTGGTGATGTAGACATGTCCTCAACCCTATGAGCCAAAGCCCAACTGGGAATGGTGATCTTAACTGAACAAGTACTGTTCTGCATAGTTAATACTTAATCAATGAGTATGAATTAAGCACTGCACGTTACCCCGCGTGAAGGGCACTATATAAATACAAATTGTTGTTGTATGCTGTTTTTCTTATGTGCAAAGTGAAGAATTTAAGCAATTTGTATTTGTAATCTGTACCCTTTAAAAAGTGAAATATGTAAAATGGTTAATATTCTGTTGAATGACTCAAAAATTTGATAGATCAGGTGCAAAACAAAAAAGCCCTCTACACTGAAATATTTGGGTATTTTACAGGGTAGACAGACCTGGGTTTATAGTGTTTCAAGGATTATGTAACTTGAACAACGAAATCTGAATCAAGATAGAATAAAAATCTCAAAGTGCAGAGATATATTAAGCAAGTAAGGATTGCATGAAGATTATTTAATAGGATAGAAATGTTTAAAGAAACTTTTGAAGAAAAGCTGAACTTTTTTGTGTTTTTATTTTTAATTATTTTTCAATTGCACCTTGTTTATTTCTGGTACTGTATGAATTTAGGATTTATTTATTTTGTGGAACACGATGTTTGAATACATTGCGCATGTATAATTAATGTGAGTGGGTTAAATGTTGTCATTGTGAATAAGCAATTAATGTAGAAAATTCAGTGCATGGTCTTGGCTATAATTTATCTGTTGCATATCTCAGACAAAATGCAGATTCTCTTACGGTATCTTAAAGTGGTTGTTCCAAAAAAATATTTTTCCCATTTTGAATGAAAAATTTAAAATGAGCATAAGTCGTCTCACTATTTTATTTAGCAATGTGCATTTTTGTGCACAATGCACACTTTGGGAGAAAACTATCTTGGCAAGAACCCTGGATACTGTGTACTGAGTTTCCTGGTCACCTAAGATTGACTTGGTACATGTTGATTTTGGTTGTGTTGTGTTGTACTATAGAAGGTTGTGCATTAGTTGAGTATCTTCACTGTTAACATTGGGAAAAAAAACCTAATATACAAAATTGAAAGTGTGTGG